CTTTGCCTCTACAGCAGCTTTTCCTCCTGGCCCTACTCCTACATCTGCCCCTACTACCAAATCCGACTTCTACCCCGCGTCCCCGCCCCCTGCGCCTCGGCCCCCAACTGCGGCAATTCCCCCTCGGCCCCACCCCTATATCTGCCCCGCGGCCCCGCCCCCAGAGCCCCGCCGCAGCCCCTTCGTCGCCCACAGGCGCTTCTCACCATCCCCGGCAGGCAGTCCCCGCCACGTCTCCGGCCCCCACCCGAGCCCTCAGCACCCAGTCTCGGTCGCTTCCCGGACTCGGCGTACAGCCGGGCTCAGTCCAGATGGGGATGGGGGAGGGGGCCGGTACCTTTAATTCGCCCAGCTCCGCCATCTTGAGACATCGCAGGCGCCCGAGCCCGAGCCCGAGCTCAGGCCCAGGGACCGGCGCACAACTCTCCACCCCGGCGCCGGCCGCAAATGCCGCCTGCTCCGCCCAGTCCGGCCCCCTACACCTCCCCTTCCCGGCCCCGCCCGCCGGGTTTTGGACCCAGCCTCAGCCCCTCCCTCCACAGCCGAACCCAGCCCCTGCACGTCTTTGGCCGGTGTGCCAGACCGGTAGACCCGGAGGGAGTGTACCGCCCGAAGGGTCGCGGGGTCCCAGGGGGAATGGGAAAGGAGGTGGACCCGAAGCACCTGGGGGAGGGGGCTTTGCCACGCCGGAGTTGAGAAGGGATGAGCTTTTAGGGAGCCAAAGATACTTGGAATATGGAGAGAAAGTATCGGGAAGGGCTAAATCTCAGAGAAATGGGGGAGGGGGTAGCGAAGTTGGAGGAAATACCCTCAGCTCCTTATCTACAAGTTTAACCATCTAAATTCAAGAGTTCTACCAATTCGGGAAATGGGGGAGATCTGATCCATTTTAGAGACGCTATGGTGTCGTGAAGAGTTCATTCTATTCTCAATTCACCCCCTCCCCCCCCCAATTACATTGTATCTCGTGGTCCGGCAGTAGGACTCAAACTCGGCAGCAAAAAAGTTTGGTACGGAGAGTGGGACTTACCAGCACAGTTGCAGGGAGCGGGGAGGGGGCTCGGGAGGCTCAGAGGGTGGGCTGGAGAGGTGGGGGGAGGGGGCCCGGCGCCGCTCCCGCAGTCTGCCCGGCTGGAGGTCGGTCCGGCAGCTGGACGCTGCAGCCGCAGCTCCGCCTGGGCGGGAGCTCCGCCCGGCCCAGCGCTGGGGCTGGGGCCGCCCCCCTCCTGGGTAAGCCCGCCAGGACCGCGGGAGAAGTGGGGAGGGGGCGGAGCCTGAGACGGGAGGGGCAGGGACTCAGAGCCCGGCCGGGAGGGATTAACTCCTCTAGTGAGTGGATCAGGAGAGAAGTTCTTTTATCTCCCATTCTCACTACCGCTGTGACCCTTGCAAAGTCGCGTATGCGCTTGAGGTGGAAGAATGCTGCAAATAAGATGGTGTGGAACTGGAATCTGATCGCATAAAGAGGTTCCTACTTAGAGTCTCTCTCCCTAAGGGTAAGAAAGCATGGGCTGCTAAAATCCAAAGTGTACCTAAACCCTAACTTTGCCTGTGGTCCCCTACCCCCTACCTCAAATACACTGTCACCAGAGACCCCACAGCTTTGAAGTAGCTGAAAGTGAACAGAGGGGAGGTTTTCTCACCCCAAAAGGGCACCCTTCTGCCACTCTGAACTGCCTGCTCTCCTTCCTCCAAAGCTGTAGACCTTCCAGAGGCCCCATTCTCAACTAAGCTAATCACTCGCAGGCAGGTCCCTTGAAAGTACCAGCGTGAGAGCAGTTTACCCAAACTAGGTACTGGAAAAATTCATAGCATTTTATACTTAGTCGGCTGGGACCTAAGTGATAATGTCATTTGTTCAATAAATATTTGAATGCTGTTCAAAGATTGTTAGGTGGTGAGGACATAAAATCCTTGCAGGAGTTCTCAGTCTAGCAGCAGCAAGATGGTTAAACCAATAATTGGCATACAAAAAGAGTGCTTTAATAAATTATATGAGTAACCCTCTCATTTAGCTTAAACCTTCAGTATAATCCTTCCCATGAGACCCCACAGCTGTAAGACTGAAGGTGCCAGCATACCAACATCCCCAGGTACCTGTTGAACTGGACCATACCCAACTACTTTGTGGATTTTGTCCCTAGGGAGGATGTCTGCCCTCTCCCGACACTCAGGTTCTTTCCTTGCTGCTCTGCTGCCAGCAATGGTGGAACCTCAAGCTCCGGTATTTGGTTCTAAATCCCAACTGCTCCCTCCAACACTTGAATCTTCATCAGGCCCTGAGCTCTTTTTTTTTTTTTTTGCGGAACGCGGGCCTCTCACTGTTGTGGCCTCTCCCGTTGAGGAGCACAGGCTCTGGACGCGCAGGCTCAGCGGCCATGGCTCACGGGCCCAGCCGCTCCACGGCATGTGGGATCTTCCTGGACCAGGGCACGAACCCGCGTCCCCTGCATCGGGAGGCGGACTCTCAACCACTGTGCCACCAGGGAAGCCCCCTGAGCTCATTTTTTGTTCTGTTAAGTCCTCTATATCAAAAGTTACTATGGACTAGTTTGTATCTTCTAGAATTTTCAGGGGAAGGAGAAGAGGGAGGAGTAAAAAAAAAGAGAGAGATGGGGGAACTCTGTGGGAGTGATGGATATGTTCATCATCTTGATGGTGTGATGGTTTTATGGGTGTATACATATGTCAAAATTTATCAAACTGTACCCTTTACATGCAGCTTATTGTATGTCAGTTATACCCAAATAAAGCTGTAAAAATGTAAAGAAAAAAAAATCAACCTCACCTTGATTCCTAGTGACTTCATAAAGGAGGGATCTCCTTTAATAGTTAATTTGAGTCCCCAAGAAAAAGAGGAAATTCTCTTCCAAGGAGGAGCCGCTCAGCAGTGGACCTAAAGAGGCTGCTGATAGCAAGAGCAGAAGCTCCAAGAAAAAGTTCCAAAAGCTATTCCAGGGAGATTAGAATGGACATTTCTCTGATGGGGCATAACCCATGGAGATATTTCGCAACCCATCCCCTATATCCCAATAAAAACAAATTCACAAGGAAAAAAAAAAAGAGTTAATTGCAGTTATAAGTTCTAGCATCCCTACAGGATAACATAAAACTAGCAACCAGGGCGCCTGAGTCTGATCCTGCCTGCAAGCTCTCTCTATCCCCAGTGCCTGGCACTTAGTAGGCCCTTTAAATATCAGTTTAATAAAGTAATGTTACCAGACAAAGGAGGGAACCTGCAAATCAGAACCAAGTTTCAGATCGAGGGCATTCAAAAACACGGTCTGAACTGCATCATGGCTCACCGAGCTTCACCTACTCTCACGCATGCACTCACATCTGAAGGCTGGAGCACGAAGGGGAAGTGAAGCAGGAGTAGTAAGTCCCTACTGAGGTCCGACTTGAAGACACAGCCCAGGAGGAAAGAGGGGAACATGAAGACTAGAGTTACTTTGAGAAAGAAAGATTTATGAAATCAAGGAAAATTTCAGGGCTTGGGGGTGTTGGGGTAACAGTTTATGGGGTTGTATAGAGGGAGATTGTTTAGGAAGACCAGGGGCTGGAGAAGGTTCCACTTCTGTGTTATCATTAACATCACTGACCATTCCCACAGCTCAGCCATCCTGGGATCAGCTTCCAGGAGCTCCAGAGGAAGCCAAGGGCCTGGCTTCCATTACCAGAGCTGTTTCCTGACTCATACTTGAACTTAGCAAAATGATCTCCCCCTCTCTGGACCCTTATCTCAGCAGTTTCTTCATTCTTCCCACCCCACACTGCATATATAATAAGGAATGTAACAGTCCTTTTCTATTCTTTGGTAACTCTAAGGGTAGAAAGGAAAAGAGAGGTTCTTTTCCCCTTGATAGAAACGACTTGGACATTTTGATGCTCTTCTGGCAGCCGCACCCTTCTTTTTCCCCATCAATTCCTCCTCTCTTCATTCTCCCAACCTTAAAGCAGTCTTGTGCCCATCCACATAAACCCCGAAGCTGACCCTCATCTTCTTTAGGACCTAATCTACATAGCTGCTCTTTTCCTGGCCAGACCCTGGAGCGAGGCTCTGCAGCCCTCCAGTGGCCCCCTGCCTTCCACGACGGCCCCTCCCCACTCTTCTCTCAGCCCAGTCAGTCTCCACTGCCAAACCGCTGCTGCCTGACCCAGCATAACCCAGCAGGGGGTGGGCTGCGAGAAGGAACTGGGAGGGATCAGTGTGGCGGCCACCAAACAGCAATAACAGATTTTGGAGGAACTCACTTGCCTCACTCTCACCTAGCAATCTGGCTGGTGAAGGGGCAGGAAGGGGAGGAGACCCAGGGGAAGTGGACCAGAGAGATACACTTTTTCAGTCTGAGAACAGAACTGGGGGGAAGAAGCCAAAGCTGAGTATCCCTTTCTTCCCTCTTCCAGGAATCAGACTTTTCATCCCTCTTTGCACCTGGGGCAAAGAACACTGACTACAGAAGACCATGCACCTCAAATCTAGACATATGGTTTAACACACGATATTTTTTTTTTTTTTTTTTTTTTTTTGGGTTAGGGGGCCCTCCCCTTTTTTGGCCTCTCCCGTTGTGGAGCACAGGCTCCGGACGCGCAGGCTCAGCGGCCATGGCTCACGGGCCCAGCCGCTCCGCAGCATGTGGGATCCTCCCGGACCCGGGCACGAACCCGCGTCCCCTGCATCGGCAGGCGGACTCTCAACCACTACGCCACCAGGGAAGCCCGATAGAATATTTTAGATTGTACATCTTGAAGAAAATCTAGGTCTCTCCATCTATCCTTCTTAAAAAAGATAGTGGACTGAGGAGTCCCAAGGTAGAGAAAAAAGATTAGAGGTGTGTCAGTCAGTAAGAAGCAGATTTGAGAAAGAGAAAGGAAGAATGTCAATCTCCATTTTTACAGAGGGCTGTTTTTCAAACTGGGTCTTGACCCATTAGTGGATGTATTGTAACCAATATTTTTTGATGGAATATAGAACAGAATAGGGTAAATATTATTTCAGGTACGTACACACAGGATGTAAAATGTATTTGTTACTATGGATCATAATCAAAGTTTGAAAGCAGCTAACTTATGGGGCCATTTGTGATCAAAAAGGAATGAAAAGGATTCCTTCCCCCATGCCCCTTTAGGCAGAAAAAACAACACCCGACATCATCCTGCCTCCTGCTTTATTCTCCACAGAGCTGGCTTCCATCCACACCTCCTCTGATCTCATCCACGCTGAGTCCAGGGTTCAGGTTCTCAGGTCTGGGGTCCATAACATCAGGTGAAGCCCCACCCACACACCCGTAGTGGCCAACCCACCACCCACCACAGCCTGTTGGAGGCTCTGGCAACCAGGGATGCTCTATTCCCTGAAAGAAGAAATTCAAGGATGAAATGCACACACTTCTATACCCTCAGTCTCCTCCCACCCATGCCAAGATGCTAAAGATGATCCTCATCTATCTGGACTGGAGAAGATGGCTGCCTGCATAGGGGCAGGGAGAAGGATGGAGGATGACTACACTTTGAATGAATGGTGTGGGAGTGAAGGAGAGATTCTGGAATCTGTAGAGTCCCACACTAGGAAACAACTGTGCACCACTATCCCACCATCACTCATCTTTCACTGGCATCTCTCTACCCCAGACCTGAGGAGGGTCATTCAACTCCTCTTTTCTGTCTCCATCTCATAAGTCAGACCCCTTCAGTCTACCTGCTCACGGATTTCTGACTCCACCCAGTGATTCCCCATATCATGTCTTCTCAATTGACCTCACCTCAAACGCTCTATGCCCCACAGGACTCCCTGGTGTCAGCTACCACATGGGGCAAAAGGAGACTCCAATTTCTATCCTTAAGCCTCCTTTCTCCCAAGCTCCTTCCCTCATCACCCTCAGACCACAACTCACAACAGAGAGATCCCATATTCTTCAGGGCACAGGATGCCTCACTCCTCCTGGATGCTGAGGATTCGCACTAGGATATTGTACACATCCTGTTCCATGTAGCCCTGTAGGCAGCATGAAAGAAACAAAAGGAGATGAAGAAAAGGAAATGAGAGAGACAGGAAAGGGAGAGTTTCTATGGTAGAGTAGGATGCTACTTACTCAGTGCCCTCACTTATACTACTTAACTTCTCAATAGCTGTTTCCTAATCTTCACAAGGAAGATAATCATGCCGGCTTTTTAGAACTGCTGTGAAGGTTACAACTGTGAATATGGAGCAAAGCACCGGGCACACAGTAAGTGTTCGATTCTTTGTAGTTATTATTATTCCTAATAAAGGAGCGAGCCACCCACCTCTTCTTCCTTGGCGAGGGATAAGCTGGCTCAGGAGGACACTGAGAAGTGGCGTAGGGGACAGGAAAAAGCCTTACGGTCAATCAGGGAATTGAAAAGGAGGGGCAAACACCTCTCCCCCTCACATTCATACATAACTTCTCTCAATCTGCCTAATGATATCCAGAAACCTGGTACTGGGACATCTAAAGTCCAGCTTCCTGAGAGACGAGTCTGTGCAGGTAAGAGAAGGGATGCCAAATGCAATGGCCCCTGGCCAGCTCTCTGCCTCTACCTGCCCCCAGGCTCACCTGAGCAGCATTCAGCAGATGATTCCTATAGGTGGAGATGATCTCTGCGTGGTTCTTCTGGGAATCCTGGGAGTGAGCATCAATGGGAGGTCACGTGCCCAGCCTCTCACACTCACCCTCATCCCCCAAGCATGAGGAACAATGAAGTGAAGTGCTCAGCTGTGCCAGGTAGGCTCCCTTGGCCCATCACTGGCTCAGCCTAGACCACTGCCTAGCCAGGCCTCTGGAATCCCCAGAATCTCTCCCACAGGTACATCACTTCCACTGTGCACCCTCTTCTCTAGCAGTGTCCATTCCCCCGAGGGCCAGACATACCTGCAGCTGTTGGGCAAGGTGAGCATTTTCTCCCCGAACTGCTAGAATCTCCTCTGAAAGCTGCTCCAGCTTCTTCAACAATTCCTTGATCTGAGGTCAAAAGGAAAGAAAAGGAACCAAGGAGGCCCCAGTCATTTCCCACCCCAATACCACCCAAAGTCAAGGTGAGTTTCCTTTTATTGGGTATTTAATATCTGCCAGATACTTTTACACACATTGTCTCACTTAATACTCAAAACAGCTCTTCTTCTGTTCTGAGACGAACAATCCTTCTCTGAGGGAACTATTATTATTCACATTTTGTAGATAAGGTGCCTGAGTTAAGTAATTTGTCAAAATCATACAGCTAATAAGTGAAGAAATCATAATTTGAACCAAGATCCCTTTGAATTCATGGGACACACTCTTAACTCTGTACTGGATCCTGACCTACTTTGGCCTACTGACCACTGAGGGAAATGGAGATGAGTTTCTGTGGTTTGTGAGACTGAGGTACAAATGCAGTTAATGATAACCAGCAGTAATAGGAATAGTGGTAGTAGGAATAATAAAACTAGCTAACTTCTACTGAGTACCAGCCATTTACCAAAAATTGTCCTATTTTTAATATAATGTCTTATTTAATGTAATCCTCACAACAGCTCTGTTATTATCCGCATTTTATAGATGAGAAAACTGAGGCTTAGATAACTCACCCAAGATCAATCAGTTTTGGTTTGTTTTTTTTTTTTTTTTGGCCACACCGTGCAGCTTGTGGGATCTTAGTTCCCCGACCAGGGATCAAACCCAGGCCACCTGCAGTGGAAGCCAGGAGTCCTAACCACTGGACCGCCAGGGAATTCCCAATCAGTTCGTTTTGAAATTGAAATTCAAATGCAGACAACCTCAGTTCGGAGCCCACTACACTATTTTTTTTGCTCATTTGTCTACTTTTATCTTCCCCTTCAACGCCAACAGAAAATTCCTTTCTTTAATTAGCCCCACCCCACACTGATTCCTATTCTGTATAACATTCCTTCTACTTTTATGTCCTTTATAGTCCGCAAAATATATATTCCCTATATTTTTTAATCCTTCTAAATTTGATCATGTACACAAACTTTGATAAGTCCGAATTCACTCACTGCACAGGTAGTTCTACAATTACTAAATTCATTTGTAAATTGATGTTTTTGAGTTTGTAAAACATGTCTGTTGGAAGCCTGTAGACTTATATTCACCTTTGGAGCAATCATTAGGAAACTCGGGTATCTAACACAATGGTTTTCAAACTTTTGTTTTTCTCTGCATTGGCACCCTCTTTGCCAATGGAAATCTTTTGTAGAGCCCACTCTGACTGAAGTGGGAGGGGAGAAAGGGACTACAGTCTAGTCTACTTCTCTTAACCCGTCAGCAACCCCTAGACCAGGCACCTCCTCAGAACCCTAGCAAAACCACAGCGACTCACCACAGCATCCGCTGTCTTCGCAGGCTAATACATTACCTAAGTCAAAATGCCGATTAAACCATAGTACCCCAATGGTGGTAGCCCTGACCACACTGCTTCTGAACCCTGCGTCCCAAATTCTAATACCTAAGCCCCCTTCTCTCTTGTATTTATAACTTACCTCACCTCCAATCTCAATCCCAGACCCCCTCAGACCCAGGAGAACATAGTGCGGTCCTTGCAAATGACTGGTGTTCTGTTTGGGGTATTAATCGGACGAACCAAAGATAGATTCCGGTCAGCCAATCCTAAACTCACAGAAACCTGCCCTGATGCTCCCTTCGGCTGCCTGGTCTGCTCACCTTGGCCTCCTTGTCCCGGCCAGCCCCGATGAGATGCTCCACCTTCTCTTTCAGCAGCTCCGCCGTTTTCTCCAACTGCTCCGACCGCCCGCGCAGCTCGCTGGCCTGGCGCTCCTGCCCTGCCGCACGCGCAGCCAGGTCCCCGCTCCTGCGCCGCTCCTCGGCCACCGCCTCCCGCAGCCGTCCCATCTCCCGGCAGGCCGTATTATACTTTTCCAGCAGGGCCTTTAGCTCCCGGCCCCAAGCCCGGGCCTGGGCCACCAGTGAGCCCCGAGTTTGCTCGTGCTGCCGCAGACCGGCCGCCTCCCGGGCCCTCAGCTCAGCCACTTCCTCCGTGGCTTGGTAGAGCAGCTGCTTCAGCTTCCTGATCTCCTGGCTCTTCCCGCTCATCGTGGCCTGAACCGCCCGCAGCTCTTCCTCCAGCTTCCCCAGGTCTTGCTCCAGAGCTTCAACTTGGGGGGACGCTGAGGCCTCTGAGGAGGCGCCCGGTTCCCCACATCGGGCAGGGGAGCCCCGCAGCTGCTGGTTTTCCTCTTCTAGCCGAGCCAGCACCTGCTGGGCCTCGCGGTGCCTGGCCACCAGGGCGCTGACGCAGGCCTGCAGCTCCTCCAGGCGATCGGCCGCTGGGCACCGTGCACTCCCCCTGCCCACCAAGTCTGGGGGCAGGCAGTCCCACAGTCCCCGGAGGCCTCTGCTCTGGGAGGCCAGGCGCTTCCGCAACTTCTCGGTGGCCTCCTTCTCCAGGGCCAGTTCATCTGTCAGCAGCCCCATGCTCCACCGCAACTGCTGTAGCTGGACCTGCACCTCTGGCTTGGGCACGCACTCCCGCTGTAGCTGGACCTGCGCCTCTGGCTTGGGCACGCACTCCCGTTGTAGCCGCTGGCTCAGGGACGGCAGGTCCCCCTGCAACCACTGCCGCTCCTGGCCCAGCTCCCCCAACTCCTGCAGCAAGTTACTGTCGCTCAGCCTCACCTCCTTCTCCAGCTGTCCCTCTGCCAGGCCTCCTCTTGGCATCTGTTCCCCTCCAGGCATCCCTAGAGGCTCTCCCCAGGCCCCAGGAGCTCCTTCCTCCTTCCCTTCACCCTCTTTGGTGATGGCCCCTGGGCCTGCCTTTGGGGATCCCTCTCTGGGCTCCTGGGCAGGGACCTCAGGTTTCATCTGTAATCCTGCTTTTGCCCTATCCAGCCTCACCAGCACCCGCTCCAACCTGGCCTCCATCTTCTCCCAGGCTGCTGCTGCAGCCTCAGCCCGGGACGTCCCCACAGCTCCCTCCAGGTCTGGTCTTGATAAAGCCCCCCGGGCTGCATCCTTTTCTCGCCACACCGCAGCCAGTTCCTCCCTCAGCTGTAGCAGGAGCTGGTTCATGGCTGCTGTGTGCACTGGTTCAGCCACTGTGCCTGTTGGTTCAGCCCCTGGGGCCTGGGGCCTCGGCTCCTGGCCAGCATGCAGTTGGTCAGTGTGATCAGGGCCAAGGGCCTGCCCGCCACTGGCGGTCGGTTGCTGTCCTGTGGATCTCCCAATGGTCTCAGACCTTGGGCTGTGGGGTGGCTCCTGTTCTTCTGGTTGGGACCTTCCGTGGGCGTCATACTGGATCACCCCTCCAGCTGAATCCTCAGCCTTCTTGGAAGCTAATACTGGCCTTGCTGCAGCTGCGGCTGCTGCCTGTTGCTGCTTCTTTAGCTCTTGTATGCACTTAGCCAGCAGGTCGAGGGTACAACCCTGCTCCATGCCATCTCCTCCAGGCCGGAGACTAGAGCGCAGGTCTCCCGGAGCTCCGGGCTCTTGTGATAGGAGGAGCCCCAGCTCCCGAACCTGTTCTTGAATCTGGCTCTCCAGGCCCAGATAAGCTGCAGATTGAGCCTTACACTCTTCCATATTTCGCAGCAGCTCCTGCTCCAACTGGGAAACTTTCCTCTGCTCCTCTTCATACTTCCACTTCCACTCCTCTGAACAGGGATCTTCATCCTCTTCTTCCTCCTGCCCCTCCTCAGGCTCTGCTCTCCATGGGCTCTTAGGTGGAGAACCCACCTGAGGCTCAGATGGAGAGGCCTATGGAGAAAAAGGAACAGTGAAGTAAACCCAGGCAGCTAGTCCAAGAGGGCCTTTCTTCTCTTAGACTGTCTCAATGCCCCGGTGATCACTGCCTGGGAGATATCCCAGCGGGAAAGCCTGGGGTGGGTCAGAAGCAAAAGGAGAAGGCACTTAGGGTCTTACCTGGGATGCAAGATCTGGGTGTTGAACTAACCCCTGACCTATATGAAAAGACATGGGGAAAATGAGAGAGGAGACAGGGCCCACGTGCTTCTAGCCCACACTCTGCCTTCAGACTTTCTCTGAAAGGAGTGGCCCCTCAGTGTTAATCCTTTACCACACATGTCGAATAGGGAAAGCCACCCCTATTTGATGACTCCCTAGCTGTCCAGCAACCTTCGTTTCCTATCTCAGAGATATGCCAGCTCATTCATTTCATTCACTCACTTATTTATTGGACACTGTGCCAGGCACTGTTATAGGCGCCAGGACCTCAATGGTGAGCAGAACAGAGATGGACTGTCATCTGAGGGGGTTACAGTCTAGTAGGGGAGAGAGAGAGATTGACCATCAAATCACATAAATAGATGTACAACTGCAACTCATAAATGCTAGCAACAGTACTAGCCAGAGTTGCCTTCAGTGAAAGACAAGGCTGCTTTGAAGAACTTTGTGACCGTGCTTTTGGGAATTTGGAGTCATCTCATAGCAGCAGCAGTAAATAAGTAAACTCTCAACTAAAGTGACAATTATTATTGCCATGGAAACAAAGGGGATTCTAAGACGCTTCTCTGATTCTAAGGCTATCGAGGAGCATCTTGAAGTTACAAAAGGGTATTGGCTTTACCTCCCAGCCCCTGCCGGTTCAGGGCCTGCTGCAGCAGCCTCCACAGCATCTTGTCTTGTGTGCGTAGAGCATAACGCAAAGCATCATGCCCCGTGCTGTCCACCGCCCCTGCATCTGCTCCATAGCTCAGGAGCAGTTCAGCCACCTCAGTGCTGCCTTTTTCACAGGCCAGGATCAGAGCCGATCTATGGGTTGGGACAAATCTGAGCATAAGCTTTTCTCATGGAACCCAGGAGTCCTGGTTTCAAAAAATCCACTCACAAGGTCAGCTCTCACTCAGTGTGGTCAGGAGCACCACAGACCAACACCAGCCAGTGACAAAGCACGAGGCCAGACCAGAACTTTTCAAATGTCATTCCTTGGAGCTGTAGCATCAGAAAGCAGGGGGCCAATTGGAAGGGCTCCACTTCCATCTGCTTTATAGATTGAGGTCCTGCATAAATTCTTTACTGGGGAAAAAGTATTCCATTGCTTAGAAGATAGTTCGAAAACCAGTAAATTAAACTAGTGGATCCAGAGGTATTGATTCTACTTCCAGAGTCACCTATGCTAGGAAGATGGCAGTGTCAGCAACAGAATAGGAAAGTATAAGGAAAACGTTCTCAACTCACCAGGAGGAAAAGAGTGAAGCAACAAGCAGTGCTCTTCTGAACCACCACTGAGAAGAAGAGAGGTTCCCAAGAAAACAGAGACCAACCTGCCTTCTTCCCCAATACACACACACACACACACTTTGCCCAGTGGCTCCTTTCTAGATTGGTCAGGGTCGGGATTTGGGGTGGGAAGACGGGGAAGGCTCACTTGTCATTCTTGTCAGTGACATTAACCCGGGCGCCTCTCTGCAGTAGCTGTGAGCAGATAGCTGCGTGACCACCCAGCGACGCAATCATCAGGGGTGTACGTCCATCCTGCACAGATTGTGGGAAGGGGGTTCACGAGGAACCAGGGGAACCAGGGCTTTGACACAATGCAACCAACTCTCCTGTTCCCGCACCTCTCCAGGAAAAAGCCCTAATCCTGGGGCTAAATACTCCTTCTCAGAGGGCTAGAAGCTCTCCAGAAGATAAGCCCTAACCTCTCTGTGTGGAAGAGGAGGAAGGGCATGGGGAGAAGGAAGAGGAGGTGGTGCTACACAACCCCTGGTCATGGAACTTGGCTTAAGTTCCATAATTAATGACCATAATTAAGTTCAGAGAAAGCAGCAGTCTCCCCATGTAGGGCCCAGCTGCCCAGCTGACACTCACATTATCCAGGACATCCAGGAAGGCTTCGTGATCACACAGGAGGAGCACACTTGAGGCACAGCCAGAGAAGGCTACGGAGGGTTGCGGGATGATCGGGTTAAGGGGAAGCAGGAAGGACACCTAGTCAGACCATGACGCAGCATTCCCTCCGACCATTTCAGCAGTTAGCTCTGGTCTGCTCTTCCCACCAAATGTTATCCCCCTCTCCCTCCCCATCCTCTGGTCCCTGCAGCCCTGTTTCCCACCAGTCCCCTGGCACACACCTGCCCAGTGCAATGGAGTACGATTTTCCACATCTACAGCATCTTCATTGGCACCATGCTGCAAACAGCCACACAGGGAAGCAGCATGGAGCGTGGTGTTAACATTCTCATCCCATAACCCCCTGTTGGGCCACCAGCTTTCACATTACTGTGGGGAGGGGCAGGAGGGCCATGACTCTGGCTACCTACTGGGCAAGTCCAATTTATTCCTTGCAAATGATAGGCAGCCTTGAATTTCAGCCCTGGTTCATAAACCTAGGGCCTAAGAAAAATCATATTATAGGTAAATAAACATGTTAGGGAAAATGACAACTGAGTCTATGTCTGGTACTTTAGGATCATAACTGGGAAACTTGGAAAGGGCCAGGAAGAACAAAGCAGAACATCCATTTGCACAGTGGCCTGTTGAACTGTGCCTTTGAACTTTGGGAGACTTAGTTCTGAATTGTCCATATGTCATTTCACATGTATATTTCTCTCTGTACTCCTACACCACAAACTCCTCAAAACAGACAGCAGGCTTTGGGTTTAATGTGAACACCTCTGCCATCCTTCCACCAGCCCATCATCACAGCAGTTAGTCTCTGCAGTGCCTCTGCCAGTGGCTGAGCTCAATACATGCATATTAACTGACTGGCAGTCAGTCCCTGGCAACGCTGCTTTACGACATGCCCGCAAGGGCAGCATTAAGCAGGGTGTCTGCACATAGCAGGTGTTAAACAAATGTTGGCGAACTAATGAATAAGTGATTACTAGCTCTCTTATTGGGAATGAGAGGGGTACATTTGACCAAATATTGCTTGTGAGTACAAGACAGAGTAAGGCGTCCCTGGGTCCTCTTCTTCCTTTCACAGGAGTAGTATCAGAGGTTGCTCTTACCTGCAGCAGGACCTTGACACATTGTGGCTGGCAGGAAATGGTGGCCGAGTGCAGGGCGGTGCTCCCTGGGAAGCGAAAGAAGGGGAGAGGGAGAGTGGGTGGCCCCATGCATACCGATGACTCACAGGGAGGGAAGGCAAGAGACGCACATATAATCAGAGGGAGATTAGAGAGAGAGGCTCTCAGCCACATGGGGCCAGAAATTCCTGTTCCCCAAGTGCCTGGTACCTGCGGTGGAGGTGGGAATGGGGGTGAGGTAGGCCCAGCTTGCAGGGAGCGGAACCCCTGGAAGGAGACTGGCCAGAACTTATGAGGAGAGAAGCAGGAGGGCTACAGTTGGAACCTCCAGCAGGGCCCAGCACTGGCCCCCCACCCACCGACTGCTGCTGTAAAGGGAAGAGCAAGCAGCATGACCCAGTGCTTTAGTCTAACTCACCATCCTCATTCTTGCTGTTGATGTCAGCCCCATTCGCAAGTAGTATAGTCAGACATTCTGTCAGGCCTTTGGAGGCTGCCAGATGAAACCTGCCAGAATCAACGCCGAGAGGCAGAAGGATGAAGGGACCAGGGGATGAGGAATGGGAGAACCTTAATAAGCACTGCCTACTAAGCTCCGTCACCCCGAAGCCAATCCCAAAAGCGGAGAGGGAAGCTCCCGTAGCCTGACTTTCTGAGAAAGAGAAGCCTATATAAATGGCCTACTGTTAAAACTTCAGAGGAGGCTGGGAGCAAAGGTAGGAATAAGAGCTACAGGTCTCAAGCAATCTCAGAGTACTGCAGGGGCGTCCAGGGAACACATAATTACCTGTAACTCAGCACAGGACACTTAGCAGACTGGAAGTGTCACAGAGTGGGCCAGAGCAGAGGGCTGGACATTTGCAGGCTGACTTGGGAAGAGACAAGGGCTAATATCCCTCTTGCTCTAATCACTCCTTCCAGCCACATGACTCGCATGGCCACCACTGCACTCCTAATTTCTCAAGCATACACACCCTCCTATTTGTACAATGAAGAAATACTCTATATAGTGTATGTTTCAGTTTTCCGTTTGTTTCATGGGCTTTATGTCCTTTTTTGGTCAATTTTGTTGATGTGGGTCATGAGGTGTGTGGACCTCAGGGACAATATCTTCTTCCCCCACTTTGTGCAGCACTTGATATGTAGCAAAGATTTATTGATATACTTGCTAATTAAGACAAAAAAGGGCTCTGACGTTGTAGGCATTTCCTGGTCTTACATCATCCTGGGGTTTGGGTTTTTAAAGAGAGCCACATACCAAGGGTGGGGATCAAGAAGTCTTACTTACGGGGACTGGCCGTTCGAGTCTAGCTTGGTGGGTCGGGAAGATTTCCTGGAGGCCAGGGCAGCCACACATCCCACGTCCCCCCGCTGCACTGCCTCCAGAAGCTTCTGATCACGACGGTTCCATCTCTCCACCTGGTCCAGAGCCACAGATTGCGTGAATATAAGAGGCGGGGGTAGAGTGGAGAAAGAAAAGAAGAACATGTTTAGGATGCCAAGCAAGGGAAAAGGGACATCCCTGAGATCCTTTCAATGTTCCACAAGTCGCTCAGTCTAGATCATTTAGTCCTTCTAGGTGGGCCAGTTAAATAGTCACCAACTCATATGCCACTGGGGACTACTGCCCGTTTTTGCCAGCCCTGGACCAAAAGGTGCTTGGACTACTGAATTAAAAATCATTTTTAAGGACTGAATGCATAGTAATTCAAATGTCTTTTTTTTTTGTTTTTTTTTCCGGTACGCAGGCCTCTCACTGTTGTGGCCTCTCCCGTTGCGGAGCACAGGCTCCAGACGCGCAGACTCAGCGGCCATGGCTCACGGGCCCAGCCGCTCCGCGGCCCTCAAGTGTCTTTTTATCAGCATTATGATTATTGTTGATAGGTGCACAACCTCCTAGCAATCGTAGCCATGATTCCTTTCCCTTTTGCTCTTTAAGTCTTGCTGGAGCAAACTGAACCAAACTGACCACTCTGGACTGGGTCCACCTTGCCTCTCAATGCCCCAAGCCCCGTGCTCCTCTGTTTCTTTGTTCTCAGATATTTGAGAAATCAAGGCACCTAGCTTTGGGTCATAGCTAGGAGTCCAAATACCTATCCATAGCATCTCTACCCATTGGCTTTGGGGCCCAAAACTAGGAGCAGAGGCACAGAGTTTTCGTTTTCCCTTCTCATACCTATGCCCTCAGGCTAGTCCTTCTTCCCCTTCCATGGCAACAACAACCAAAAGGCAAAGACAGGTCTCTAGCTCGGCTTGAGGAGGCAGCTCCCCTCCTCCACCCTTCCCTCCCTCCTCATTTTCCTGGCAGGGAGCAGCTGTCCCAGACAACAGCCATACCTGGGCACACATTGTTCTACCATGCCAGCTTGACTTTTTCAGGTGGTGGGGTAATTACAATAATTGAAGTATCACAGAACATGAAAGAGCTGTGTAAAAACACCCAGAGCTGAAAGCATGGAAAAGCCTGGTTTGGTCCAGAGAGGAAAGGAAAGGAAAGGAAGAAAGGATGCAAAAATCTGTGGAATGGTGAAAAGGGCCCTAGGTGAATATTTGTCAGCAGGCCTAAGTTCACGGCCTCGTTCAGCTACTTCAGTAATTCACATACTTCAGCTACCTAGAGTAAGTCATTGAACACCTCTAATCTGTTTCCTCATCTATAAAATGAGGAAAATAATAACTACCTCATCATGCTGTGGGTATTAAATGAGCTAACGTATATAAAATCTCTCTGTAAACTGTAAAAAGCTATACAAGTGTATGGCATCCTTATAAAAAAACAGGAAGCAGTGGGGGACTGGTGGCAGCACATTGCATTTTATGAGGTGTAATTGCAACAAGAAGAGGCTATAGGAGAAGGTGGGGGAAAAAAGGGGTCTATGGAAGCCAACTCATTTTCAGATACATAGCCAGGGCAAATTATTACTCAAGAACAGGAAAGACTTTAAATGCCTAAACCATAAAATTATCTAAGGTAGATGGATTCTGAGGTAATACTCGTGAGGTAATTCCTCGTAGCCCTTTTAAGTGCTATTTCAATTACCCTCTCAACACCCCTAGAAAGTAGTTAGGGCTGATATTATTTTATCTAGTTGACAGAAAAGAAACTGAAGCACACTGAGGTTAGATAACTGTCCAGGGTCACACCACAAAATAGTGGTAAAATTGAGATTAGAACCCAGGCCATCAGATGCCCTATTCTAGTTCTCACCACCAGGCCATTTACTACGGAGCTATGGAAGGTTTACTTATTTTCAAATAAACAGTCTAAGACCGCCTCCAGGGTAAAACCACCCACCTTCAGACACTACTCTGTACAAGGAGAAGAGTCTCCAAACAGGTTAATTCTCAAAGGACATAATAAGCAAAATGACTGCTCCACATACCAACAGACTGAGATGTAATAACACGTTATCCAATGCCCCATGGGGGGCCATATCACCCTCAGAAAAAGCAGACAGCTAGAACTACACCTCCACCACAGGACGCCACCATCAGCTGACCTCAATCTGAAGTTCTCTATTTAAAATCCTGATTCTAACACTTTCTATCCTTGTGAATTGAGGCATGTAAAACTTTTTTGAACCTCAGTTTGCTAATAAAGTAACACTATATAAAGCACCTAGAACTGTCTGTCACGTAGTAGGTACACAATAAATGTCAGCCCTAATCCCCATCCTTCCTAGCCTTGCTTGGCACATTTTGGGTGTTCCTGGGCTCAGAATTCTCCATCCAGGGGAGTGGGAGGAAGGGATCTTGATCATATCGGGTAATGTATGACAGTCAAGCTGTATAGATGGTAAAGGTGCTTCTTAGCAAGGTAGATAATTCTCTTTCCAGCTAGATAGTTCTAAATCCACCCAATTTACTTCCTATAATCTTGTTATACCAAGAAGAATTTAGAATAGGTAGAAATTCTTCACAGCCAAACCTCTGCAGAGCTAGGGTGAAGAAGAACAGAGGGGAACTTCCCTGGCAGTCCAGTGGTTAAAACTCTACACTCCCAATGCAGGGGGCACGGGTTCGATCCCTGGTAGGGGAACTAAGATCCCGCATGGCCACATGGCAAGTACAAAAAAAAAAAAAAAAAAAAAGAACAGAGGGATGCTTCCGAATCTCAAGATCCAGTCTATTGTTCACCCCAGCACCTTGGGAAAGAGGATAACCATCACAGCCTCAAGGGAGCAATCACCAAATTAATCAGCAGGCTCAAAACAAGGATAAGCTTTGTATCTCCCGTAGGATTGGCGGGGGTCGGGTGGGGGGTGGGAGGGTGGCTTTGTAGAAGTCATTGCAGCCTCTCCTTATCTCTGGCCATGTGTCTATGACCATCCTATCAAGGTGGAACACACCAACAGTAGAGAGAGAAACAGCAGAGAGAGTGGGTACCTCTGTAGGGCAGGTGAATGGAAATGGAAATGCTGCCCTGGAGGAACCAGGAGCTGTCTCTCAATTTTTAAAATGCAATTGACATTCCTCTAAGCTGATCCAGTGCCTACTGTTTAAAGCTATTTTCTGACTTACTTCCTACATACGCAGAGTAAGCTGCCTATGTAAGACACCCTCAAAGGTATCCTCTACTTGACTAGATCAAAATGAGATTATAGGAGCTGGCTTTTGTTTTTTTGTTTCTGAAACTTCCTATACGTATTCTGGATGACTTAGATTAATTTTTAAATGGTCACAGATCCTTCAGTCCTTATCTCAATCTGAGGGTGCAATCTGGATCCAGGGGTGGGAGCGGGGATGGAAAGGGGCAATCTTCTGCCATGACTGGGAAGCCAGGCTTTGGGGGCGGTCAGGAAGGCTGTCACACTATTTCTCTGACAAACTGGTTCAGAGCGGTTAGCCACCCAGGGAGTGGAGGAATTTATCATGAGAAGTGTGGGGAAGTTTCAAGAGGAAACAATTTACAGCTTAAACTGGTCTATTTTCAATCTCGTTGGATCCATACCCTGACTGAGGAAACACTTTTCTTTCCAGCTAAGTAGTTCTAAATTCACCTAATTTACTACGTATAATCTTGTACTAAGAAGAGTTTAGAATGGGTAGAAATTCTTCATGGCCAAACCTCTGTAGAGCTGGGATGAAGAAGGACAGAGGAATGCTTTAGAATTCCAACATTCAGCCCATTGTTCATCCCAGCATCCTGGAAAGTAGGTATTGACCAACAATTGGAGAATCAGGATGAATGAGATAGTTTCCCGATTCCTAAGGAGCAGGCAGACTCCACAAACCTGAAAGGGCAGGGCAATGTGGAGGACTTTCAGTAACCAAGAAAGAGTCCACGTGAATAAGAAAATCCTGAGTTAAGACATTCTGGATAGCCTCAGTTTCTGGTACCTTTAGTAGTCATTCAGTAAATGCCTTTTGATTGGTTGATTAATGTGTGGAAACTAAGTGGGGAAGCAAACATTAAGTGGGATGAGAACAGGCCTCAACAGAGTTCCTACTCTTGCCTCGTAGGTCACTTCCAGGCTTCTGTGGCCTGCCCATGCAGGGTGAGCTGAGCATTTCTCACGTTTGCTCAGTGAATGACACCACAAAGTCAAGTTAGGCTAAGCAATATTACTACAGGTAGTTGGCTACTTCACTTCAAAATGAACTGTCATCCCAGTCTCCACACAAAATTTCATCCCTAGATAGGGGGTCTCTCTGTAAGAGATCTTCAGAGAAGAAGAAGCTATACCCTCCCTTAGCCACTCCCTTCTGTAGTCTTCCTCCCTGTGTTTTGTTCTGGGAGAACATGGGGAGGACAGTGACTTCTACTGGGAACTCTCAGAGTGAATCCATTTTATCCTCTTCGCCTCTCACCATTACCGTTCCCCAGCTCAGTCAAAGGAAGCAGAGAGTATAGGCCCTAAACAACTGGGTGAGGGTCTAGAATGAAGGAAGATTGTGGGGAGAAGCAGGCAGAAGGCCTTGAGTGGCCCAAGAACCAGTATGATGACCAGGCACTGCAGTGAACTGGCCAGAGTGGATTCTGCAGGCAATTTACCCATTCCTTGGGGAGCAGCCAGGCAACTGTCCTCCTCTGGCAGTGCCTGTTGGGCCGGCCAGGCCGGACTGCAAGATTAACCTGCAGAGAGCAGGCAGAAGGAGGTCGGGGAGTTGAACAGCCACTGGACAGAGAGGAGCAGAGCTTGAAGGGGAGAACAGGAGAAGGCTGCTGCTGTCAGAGCACCGACTGGAAAGAGGTTTGGAGTGATGTCTGAGAGCCAGTGGTGGTAATGAGAGAATGGAAGTGGAAGTGGCATGGGGTGAGATGGGGGCAAGGACAGAGAAGACTCTATGAGGAAGTGCTAGGGGAAGGCACGGGGCTGGAAGTACTTGCTGGACTGAGAGCAAGGATTAGGCCATATAGGAGGGCAGGCTTGTGAGGACAAGGCAGGGCTGGTAAATGGGGCGTGGGGCAATACTTGGGAGACAGAAAGGGGCTTGGGGCTGAGCAGGGGCTGGGGATAGGACAGATACTTGAAGGTAGTTCAGTACTGGGAAACAGAGAAGAAGTAGAGAACACAGCCTTTGGGAGGGGGCAGGGGCTGCCGGAAACATATCATTAGTTGGGGGTGTAGATGCTTGGAGGACAAGAAAGGGCCAAGGGAAAGGACCTTGTGGGAGACAGGGTCTTGAGGAAGGCAGGGCGGGAGGGCTGCACTGCGGGAGCGGAAGAGCTAGAAAGACCGATAAAGAGAAAAGGCGACGGTGCGTGGAGATGGGACTCAGGACTTCTGTCACCACAGGGCTTGGACCCCAGCCCCATGCCCATCCTCCCAGACATTGTAGCACATACCGCCACCTGTGAGCTGGAGCAGGAGAAGATGCTCTTCATGGCCGGGGCCGGGGCCACGGGGGGACGGGGACGCGCGGAGAGCGGGATCACAGGTTCCTGAACCCACCGGACTCGTCTGCAGCTGTGTAAGAGAGCTGTCAAAAGCAAACCAGGACCCGCCCCAGGGGGGGCCACCCCGTTCAATCAGAGGCAAGAATCCGAGGGCTGGTCTTAACACTCCGCCCCTGGCCCAGCCTCACTCCGCCGTTGCGGAGACAAAAGTCCTGCAGTCTCCGCCTGGGCTTGGTCTCAAACCTCACCCTCCCAAACCGAACCCGCCCCCAGCTCCGACCTGCTCAATCGTAAAAGGGACCTCAGGTCCCCAGACCCGGGATCCGGCTAAAACTCCTCCCCCTGCCCTGCCCCGCCCCTCCCCGCAGTTCCAGGCTGCGGCTCCACCCCAAGCCCCGCCTCAGCCCCGTCCCCCGGAGCGCAGCCGCAGGAGTCTCCCGGTGTGCACGTCTCTTAGAAACTGTCGCATTTAACCACTGGTGACGAAGATTTGATTATATCCAGAGATATTTGCCGACTTAGTTACCTCTGCTTCCTCCCCCCATTCCGCGGCCAAAAACCCGGGCACAAAGAAGGATTTGAAGAGAGCAGTTTGGAAACGGGAGGAGATTGTAGTGCCGAGCAAAGGACCGAGCGTGGATGATGCACGACCCACCGCAACGTGGAGAAAGGGGACCAGGCCTAACATCCCAACGCACCTCTACGTTAGTAAAGGGCACAGGGAGAGGAGCGATGTTTTTTATTCTAAGCATTCCCTTCCACAAAAATGCGCACAAAACCGTCTTCATTATTTCCACTGCCCTTTAAATTCAGATTCTCAGCAATTCGTGCTTGAACAGTCAGTCTACCCGTCTCTCTTTTCTCCTCCCTTCAGCCAGAGAGAGCACACTCAAATGCATGTGAAAGCCTACAGGATAAAGGTCAGAGTTCTTAACGTAGTTTACTAGGCTCATCTGGAGCTGCACTCTGCCTGTTCAAGTCTCATCTCTCACTACTTTCACAAACAGTCTAATGCTCAGGCTGCTCCAATCTACTACAGTTCCCTTCCCGACTGGTGATTAATCCTCCCTGGAATGCCTCCTCTCACACTTGGTGGCCCCTCAAGACTTTTTTTTTTTTTTTCCTGTAAACTTTTAAAGTCCCTCCAACCTCACCTAAAAAAGTGTGCCTCTTGTGTGCGACACATTTCTAATACTGATATGTCGTCTAGCAACCAGCTCTCTGTATTTTCCATTATATGTTTACATGTTTGTTTCCCCTACTAGACTGGGCTCTTTGATGGTAGGAGTTGCATTTTATATTATTCAAATTGCCTAGCACATATTAGGTGCTTAATGTCTGATGAGTGAATGAACAAAAGAATGAATAAAGGAACAAAGGAGCAACGATGAGAAGAAAGCAACACCTGTGTGTCTGAGGAGAGCCTGGTGTTTCTACAGTTGCTTCTCAAACTGGCTCTGCTTCAAAGGAAGGAAGAGGTAACAGGCTTTTTGAAGAACAGGTTGGGGTTAGAGAAAGTCCCATTCTGGCGCTGAGGAAGAGAGAAGACAGGGATCTCTAGGTGGAGAAAAATATTAAAAGTGCTTTTTTAATCATGTGGAGAGAGAATTAGATGAACCAGTCCTCAAGGATACCCATCTCCCTTTGCAGGCTGACTGGGGATAAAGAGGGGAAATCTGTCAACATAACCATGGCCTCAGTCCTTGCCCCAGAAAGAAGTGTGCTGCATAAATGTTGATCAAACTATAGCCTATATGAATTGTACTAAGGGCCACCATGGATCCTCCTGCCACAAAATAACTCACCAGCTTGGCACAGAATGGTTGTCCCAGCCTTATAGGCCAGGTAACTATAACAATAGTTACCATTTATTAAGTACTTACTATATGTTCACTTTACTTGAATCATCTCATTTAGTCCTCACAACCCTAATAAGTTGAAAGTCAAGAAAGTCAAGACATCGAGAAGTTAAATCTGTTCAAGGTCAAGCAGGATTTAAGTGGTAGAGCTTAGATTTAAACCCAAGTCTGTCTTCATTCTTAACCACTGCTCTACACAGCTTTTTATCTGAGCCTCAGGGTAGTTATGACTTGCCCAAAGCCACTTAGCTCATAAATGGCAGACCTGGGATTTCGGTATAGGCCTATGTGTTTACCAAACCTACACATTTTACACTCTACGCTCATTTAAGTAGGTGAGGATTGCAGGAGGCTAGAGTACATCTCCAGTGGGAGAGTCACAGAAAACATTTCAAATACTTCATAACCTTGCCTTCCAGGGACTCAATTGTATAAGGTCTCAAGGTAAACCGAGACTCCACCTCTCACCGTTTGTGAGCAGTCTATATCCCAGGGAACTCAAAGAGAGCCAGAAGTCATTTGACACTGAACTTTATTTGTTCTGACCATCTGATATACTGTCTACCCTGCTAGGAAACAGAGACAATGCTGTCTGCAAAAGGCCAGAGACATGCCAAAATAAACACTGTGACCAGATCTCAAGAACAGCCCTGGAGGACAGAGTCTGTGGCGGCTAGTCAACTGCCCAATCAGGTCCCCTCTCTTCTCAGCTCTGAATGGGTGCTGATTCTTCAAATGGCTGTCAGAGCTGCCCTCTGGAGACCAGTAACTAACTTTGGTGTCCAAAGTCTTGATTACAGAGAACTGTATGTTACCCAGTTGTCAATGAGAATCCACTTCTTTTTACTGGCCATGACCAAAAAATGGGAGTCAGGTGGTGGGGTGGTCCAGAGATAGAAACTAACTTGAGAATTTCCAGTAAACATCAAGCAAGGGCTGTCCAACTGATTGTACCAGAGAAGCCCTACAAGGTATGACTGGAGATGCCCCAGAAACATTTCCTAGGAGCTATTTGTGCTATATAAACAGTGCCAAGTAAGTAAGGGCTTGCTTCCCAGAGACCTCTTGCAACCTACTTCAGCTTCTTCCTTAATTCAGACCCCATGGGGCTGCTGCTTCCCAAATCTAGTAAGGTGAAAGGGTTTCCCACCATCAACTCCCTTCTCTCTAGTTTCTGTAAGGAGGCTCCAAGGAGTGCTCATGAGTGTGTGAGGCCTGAGAGAGGAGAAGACTGCCTAGGGTATCCAGTCTTCTGTGTTATTCCAGCTCTAGCCACGTGGGGGCCCCTGGCTCCAGAGAATCGGGCACCCAGCTCTGGCTTTGCTCCCAGGGAAGGCTGGAGAGTTGGGAAACCCTTGCCCAGAAGGCCTGGGGCAGCTCCGTTTCACCAGCACCTGAGGGCGGGCGAGTGCACCACGAAAGTCTCAGGTTTCAGGGGGATGGCAGTTGCCTGTCTAAAGGCTTCTCTGTTCCTTGGAATTGTACAGAATGTCTCTTGTGGCTTTTCCTCCTCCCTCCTTTTTTCCTGTTGACTCTCCCCATCCGGCCCTCTGAATCACCAGACTCCACAGGAAAGCAGCAGATGTTGACTTTACTTCGTTCAAGCCAACGTCAGCTCTCTCCTGTGGAGTGGGGAGAAGGCAGGAAGGTGAGAGGTGGGAAATGGAGGAAGATAACCCTCGTCCTTTCCAAATTGTGAGGGAGGATGTAGAGGGAAACTGAAAGAAGTCAGGGACCTAGGCAAAAAATTCTTAATTCCCGGGGATGGGGAAAAAAGGACCCTACACTAAGGTCCCAGTGTTGGCTCTGGAACCAGGATGGTAAGGAGGGAAGCACAGGGTGGGAGTGTTTAGTGCCAGCCCTTCTCGTCTGAGGTAAGGCCTCATCCCTTGCCAGCAGCATCCTCATGACTCAAAGGTCAAGTCAGGCTGCAGGTCTGGGGAGATAGTCCAGAGGCTTCTTCCTGTCCCATCTGAGCCCCCAAACCTCTGCTGTTATGCAAGTCTTTTGGAGAAGCTGCCAGGGAGGACTTTCTAGGGCTTTATTCTACATTCATTGCTCCAATTTCTCTTCTCTTTTTTCTTCCTCAGGGATTTTCTTACGGGCAAAGAAGCCAAGCTGTAGGGAAAGAGATAAGAGCCTTCACCAAATGCCCTGCCTGGGGACCCGGCCAACAGCCCTCAGATGTATCTGAAGTCTTCAATTTTGTTCTGCTTCCAAAACTGAGATTCAAATTTATTTTATTTGGCTTAGTTTAATTCAACCAACATTTGTGGAGGAGAGTGAAGGAGATCTGGGCATGACACCCACAGCCTGCTTAGCTGCCCAGCACAAATCCGGTTCTCCCGGCTATAATCAAGGATTCCTTAATTCATGAGCACCATGCCCCGTACTCCCCACGACAGCAGTGCTTACCTTCCAAAGGCAGAAGACAAGGAGAGCAAGCAGAAGCAGCCCTCCCAGGACACTGCCAATGAGGATCCACAGGGAGATGAGGACAGGGCGGGACTGAATTACCTCCAGGAGGCTCTGCATAGGAAGGAGAGTTGTTTTTTATTTGCACCGTTTTGCCCAGCTAGCCTCACCCAACATTGTAGCAAAGCCAGCCGCAAAATAGAAGACTAAAAGGAAAGAGACTGAGGTAGGAATGGAGGCAGTGGGACCCCACCATTCTGATTTATCACTTCTGACTCCCTGACTGCTGCCTAATGAAGACACCTCTGTTCTGAAAAATCTCACAGGTGCCCTTAGGCCACTGCCACTCTCACTAGTTCCACAGTTCTCAGACTCAGTCTCCAGCCCCACCTCACTCCAACGGGAGGCTTCAGTCAGCTGTAGGACACTGCCCTCCTCAGTTCCCAGCTCGAAGGTGCTGACCACTGTCAGAGACTTGAATTTGGCCTGTGGATGGAAAGACACTTAAAGTGAGCCATCATCTGAACTGGGAGATTGGGATTGATTAATATATGTATAAAAAAGATAACTAATAAGAATCTGCTGTATAAAAAAATAAAAAAAATTAAAAAAAAATTAAAAAAAAATAAAGTGAGCCATCATCAGGTGGTGATAAGGCTCTCAGAACCCTAATGGCAAAGATGAGGCTGAGGGGCACAACTTCCAGGATGTTCAAAACCAGAGGAAAAGGTTGGAGACTGATGGGGAAAGAAAAGAAGGGTAACAGATGGAAAGCCTATGGCCCTTCATATACTCTGTTTGCTCTACCTGAAATGCATTCAACTCCTCTTTCTTTGGCTAACTCCTACCCTTCCTTTAGATGTCATCCCCTCTGGGAAGTAGGAAAGTGTTCCCTCCTAACCCCCATCACCCTGGATCAGGTTATAATAGTGTTTACTTCTCTGTCTTTCACCTCTGAACTATAAGATCCTTGAGGTCAAGGGTTGTGTGTTAGTAATTTATGTGTCCCTAGTTTCTCAATAAATCTTTGTTAAAAGAATAAATAAATGAATGAAAAAAGGATACCAAAGAGAGATAAGGAGAGAACCAGAGTTAGGGAATGATGGCCTGTCAGACTTAACTTCCCTGAAAGATGCCTACATCCCAGGGATCTTGTGTAATTCAAAGTATACGGAACATGGGAAAGCACAATATAAACCCCTAGTACTAAACAGCTGTTATAATTAAGAGGTCATTTCCCTGCTCAGGAACTCACATGTCTCCTGACTGCCTGTCATATTAGGTTCTATTTCATCTTCCTGGCTTTAAAGATCTTTGATAATCTAGATCTCTTTCACTATACAATATCACTTCCCACTACCCTCCATGCTTACCCTGCATGTAATATCAACTATTTACTCATTCATTTAATAAAAATGTATTAAATCACTACAATGAGTTAGGCATGGTGCTAAATGTTGGGGATATTCTCCTCAGTGTCTACCTAATAGAGGGCTTTTTATATAGCAGGCATTTGATGGGTTGATTGAATTTAGGTATCCTATAAATGTTGGTTGGGGCTTCCCTGGTGGCACAGTGGTTGAGAGTCCACCTGCTGATGCAGGGGACACGGGTTCGTGCCCCAGTCCGGGAAGATCCCACATGCCGCGGAGCAGCTGGGCCCGTGAGCCATGGCCGCTGAGCCTGCACGTCCGGAGCCTGTGCTCAGCAACGGGAGAGGCCACAACAGTGAGAGGCCCGCATAATGTCGGTTGATTATTGATATAACACTAAGAGATGATAAATGGAGGAAAATACAAGAACAGTAACTAGCTTCTAGTGAGTTCATCTCATTATTCACTTAGTCTTTACAACAACCCTATGAAGTAGGTCTTTTCTTCCCCATTTTAGAGATGAGGAGAAAGAAACTTAGAAAAATTAAATAACTTTGTGAGTAGGAGGCAAAGCTCGAACTTGAACATGAGTCTGTCTACCGGAAAAGGCTATGCTAAAGTCCCAGATAGGAGCAGCAGGGGAAAGCAGTGGAAAAGGAAAAGTTTACCCTTCGGAAAAATTCATTGTGAACCAGCCTCAGTAGTCCAACAGAGACCTCAGTCCCCTTTGCCAGTCGCCCAAGGTGGCACCTCATGACCTGACACCGGGAGTTGTTCCCATTCTACCAGAAGAGAGAGACACATCAGGACGCTGGGGTGGAAATATCCCTCACTCCCCACTCTACTCTCCAGCCCAAGGCTCCAAACTCTACTGCTCCCCCCCTGCATTCCCACTCTGTACACCTTCTTCACCCTCTTGTGACTCATACCAGCCAGCTTGTGTGCTGAAGCTCCTCTGGATGCACAGGGGGCTCTGGGGGCTCAGTCAGGTTCTGCACTGTGCAGCTTGCCTAGAGGAAGATCCAACTTGAGGGACCCTCTTGATGGTGAGAGGCCGGCCACTCCAGGCTGAGCAGGAGCACGCCACCCACACTCTTGTAGTTCTTCCCTGGGTGATCCCTTTCTTTCTTCTCAACGAAGCGACATATGTGAAAGAAAGGCGCCCCCAGGGAGGGAGGAGCCCTGAGAGCAGTGACCCAGGATGCTGGGAGCTGGGTGAGTCCACCAAATCAAGATGGCAGGGTTCCATACGCCCCCTAGCCCAGACTCACATTGTTAGTGATGACTTGAGACAGTGACAGGAAGTAATTGCCCCCATGGGCCACAGCTGGAAGGAGGGCTGAGATGACGAGGCCACTGACCACATAGCAGCCAAGGTTCTGAACCTAAAAGGAGGATTGGAAATGGGAAGAGGTGAGAGACAGAGAAAGACTCTTCCTCATCTGTTCCCCTTTACCCTCAATACCACTGAAATCTAAGAGAGACTCCTCCCATCCTTTTCCCAGGAACTCCTCCCCCTCCCTCTGCTTATGCCAAGGTCCCCTCCAGCTTCTCACCCTAAGAGTGGTTTTGAATTCAGGGCCAGGGCCCACTGGGAGGGTCCCATATGGGTGAACCTCATAGCGGTGCAGAGTGGACTCACTGCGTGGGCACCAAGTCAGGAAGCACATGGTCACAGCCATGACACAGACACAGGGGCACATGATCAGCACACAGACATGGATTCAGGGAAGGTAGGGCCAGCACAAGGATAAAGAGATGGGGGTACATAGAGAAGACAGAAATGAGACATGACATAGACTTGGTACGAACTTTATGGCCACACCCCATATCCCATCCCACCAGCTCCAACCCCCAGGGCCCAGCAAAGCCCTACAACTAGGATGCATAAGTACTATACCTAAGAAAGAAAGATGCTTAAGAGAAGCTTCAGCATGAGTGGGACTGAGGGCAAAAAGATAGAGCAGCCCTAAGGGTTTGGTGTTTGGGAACACTGAAGCACACGGAGGGAGAGGGGGGAAACATAAAGAGTATGAGTCTGGGGTCAGAATGGGGTCTCAGTGGGGGGCTGAGCCATACCTAGAGAATAGGAGGTGAGGCTCATACTGGATGTAGGCTGAGGTCTGGGCTGTGTTATCATGAAGCGTGCCATTTCTCTCCAGGCTATTGCTGTAGGGTCAGGGGGAGAGGCTCGCATCCCAGCCCTGTCTCAGACACCCCTCTCTAGAGTAAAGGAGTCACGCTGTTTCCACCCCTGCTCCCACCCGCACACCACCACCACCAAGACTCAACAGGAGAGGCCTGGGAGGAAATGCCCATTGTTCTCACCTGGTGGCAGTCAGACTCACAAGGACCTGGCTCAGGAGGAAGGAGCAGCTAAACTCAAACTCTAGCAGAAAGGTCACCTGGGGGAGAGGGACATGGTAGATTTCTCCTCATGGGACAATACAGAGGAACAGGAGCCCTTGTGTGCCTCCTTTCCTAAACTCCCAGGCCCTGCAGATTCCAGCCCCTGATCTCTCAGAGGCCCTTTCTCATCCTGGGCCCCAACTCACCTTGGCTCCAGCCTGGAAGACAGGATGCCCCACGCTGCAGAGGCGGGCATGAGGGGAAGGGGCTGCACACTCCACCTTCACTGGGCCGTCCCCCTGAGAGCAGAGGAAGCGGGGTGGAGGCTAAGGTGGGCCCTCTTGCCTGCAGCCTCTAAACACAGCAAGCCTTTCCCTAGGGCCCCTCACAGACAATACCCCAATTGTCCTCCTCCCAAATTCCCTCCCCCAAGGGCACCTGAGGAGTAAAACTGGATAGGTGAAGGTTTCTGGAGAAGTTGAGACTCAGGCTAGTGTTGTAGGCATTTTCCTTCCTGTTCTTCAGAGTTGCTGACACCAGCACTTTCCGCCGACCACCTCGAACCACGAATGGGTCCTTCCTAGGAGTCGTGGATAAAAGAGAGACCAGAGTTGAAGGAGCGCCAGAAGCCTCGCTTCTGTCTTCCTGGGCAAGAAACAACCCTCCATCTCCCTTCAAGTCCCTTCTGATCTGTCTCGGGTCACCCCCATTTGGCCAGTTCATGTCCATCCCACCTGGAGCCTCTGATGTTCATATTAGCTCGAAGTACCAGATCTGTGACACATTCATTGTCAGGGCCACAGTCCTTCGAGAAGGGGACCTAGAGGAGAGAGAAGGGGCTGAGGGCTGAGAGGAAGGTGTGGGAGAAAGGAATGGGATTGAGGGAAAAGTGAAAAGAGTGGGTGCCCAAGTTAGATTTCACTGTGATCTCATGTCTCCTCCCTCCGCTTTCTCTTGAATTCACTGAGAAGGGCAGTGTTGGGACCCAGGGCAGGGCAGGGCAGGGCTTGGCACTTCTGACCAGCTTTCGTATGGAGGTAGGTGAGCCCTCATCCAGCACAGGCCCTGGCTTTGTGGTGTTGTCCAAAGCAAAGGTCACAGTCAAGGCCACTGGCCGGAGGTAATCTGATGTATCCTAAGAGAAACCAGAGTCAAGGATCATGGGGAGCCAGGATTAGGGATACGACCCAGGAATCCTAGCAGAATGTGATAATTATGGTGATATTTACTGAGCACTTTCTGTGTGCTGGGCACTGTCCTAAGGTTTTATCAATACTATTACATTTAATTCTAAGACAGCTAACTCCTAACTCCTATTTTGTAGTTGTTATTATCATCCCCCCTTTTCAGGCAAGGAAACTAAGGTTTGCAGGTTATATGAGTTCCCAGAATTCACAGGTGGTAAACGGCAGAGCAGGATTCAAACCCAGATCAGCCTGACTCCACAGTCTGATCTTTCTCACTTTGCTGACTCTGGCTTTCTTGCCGATCCAGCAGAAAGTCCTCCCTCTGATCCAGCCTTCTTCTCACTCCCAGGCCCTGATGCAAAGCAGTTCCTGCCCCCTCCTCACCAGCACATGGAAGTGCAGCGGCTCACAAGTGATAGTCCCCACACTGAGCCGGAGCCGCCGAGGGGACAGCCTCTGGCCAGAGCCGTCAAACGCTGCACGGGCCCCAGCTGTCCACTCATCCAGCGATGCTGTGAACCGCACATCTGAATGGGGCAGGCAAGAGTGCAGGTGGAGCGGGGTCCCAAGACCATGGCATGCAAGGGGTTGAGAGCTGCCTAGCATGCACTCTAGTCACTCACGGAATTGGCGATCCCAGCGACCGGGAGTGCGGGAGGTCACTTGGAAGCAAAGGGCTGCGGATAGGCAGGCTGCCTCCTGGCTGCGTCGCTTGCAGTCCCTCTGAACCACACTGATGGCCGGCGGGGTCACATCCAGTGAAGGGGCCAGGTGGACAATGGGCCGGGAGCTGGGAACAGGGTGGGAAAGAAAGTCTAGCAGAGGGAAGAAAACCCTTTGAGAAAGGCAGTCCCCAGTGTCTGCCTCCCTGAGGTCAAAGGAAAGAATAAGGAGCTAGGGGACACATGTGTCCGCCTCCCCTGAACCTTCTGACAGAAGTAAGATAACAGCTAACATTTTTTTAAATTAATTTATTTTTATTTTTGGCTGCCTGGGTCTTCACTGCTGCGTGTGGCCTTTCTCTCTAGCTGCGGCGAGCAGGGACTACTCTTGGCCTTGGTGCATGGGCTTCTCATTGCGATGGCCTCTCCCATTGCGGAGCATGGGTTCTAGGTGTGTGGGTTTCAGTAGTTGTGGTGCATGGGCTTAGTTGCTCCGCGGCATGTGGGATCCTCCTGTACCAGGGATCGAACCCTTGTCCCCTGCATTGGCAGGCGGATTCTTAACCACTGCACCACCAGGCAAGTCCCAATAGCTAACATTTAATCAGCACTTGCCGTGTGCTAGGCACTGTGTTTAGATCTTTTCACAGATTATAGCGTTTAATCCTCACAACAAACCTCTAAGGCAGGTACGATTATTATTCCCATTTTATAAACTAGGAAACGGAGGCACAGAGTAAGTTGATCAAGAAAGCCAAATGTAACTTTGTGATTCCAAAGCCCTTGCTTTTAACAGCTATGCCATGCTGTCTACTGCTACCTGAGCTGGGGCCACTCACCTGAGCAGGATGGCTGCCCCTTGGGCACCCACAGCAACATCTACCAGGTCATCTCCATCCAGATCTAACCGGCCATCCACACTTCGGCCGAAGTAGCTGAGGGCCTGTGGCATGGAGACAGCAGCAATCCGCTGAGAGGGAGAGAGGAGACACTGAGCAGAGACTCACACAACTGGTTTCCCAGGCCTCCCACCTGGCTTTTTCTAATTCTCCCCTCAGGCATGAGGAGGAATGAGAGAAACTTGCCTGTGTTCAGGAGTCTCTAGTATACAGCAACATGTTTCCTACCCCACCGCCTCACCTTTTTGACTACTGATAAAAAAGGCACTTGTTCAGTTTGGGTCTCAAGCCCAGGGGAGCAATGATAACCAAAGGGTGCACCTCCTTTCCCCTTCCTCCCACCATGCCCCTGCCTCGTCGGGGCACTCCTGACCTGGGCAGGACAGGGCTTGACTCCACTCTGGGTCCCGTGATAGAGGTACAGTGCTCCACGGTGCCCATCCTCCAGGGGCGCTCCCATAGCCACATCAGCAAAACCATCTTGGTTCAGATCAGGAAGGGCAGCCATGGCAAAGCCAAACCGAGCATCCTGCGGGGGTTCTGGCTGAAGTGTTCCCTGGAGTGTCAGCAAGGACTGCTGGTGGGGGTGAGGAGAAGGCAGAAGATGCTGATTTGACAGTCCCAACCTCTCAGCCAGCCCTCAAATGTGTGTGCCTTCCCTCACTCCCTTTGCCCCCCACAGACAAGTTCTAGGGTATCCCAGCAAGTCTCACCTGGCCCACCAGATACACATAAACACGTCCTGTCTCCTTGTTCTGGGGCCCCAGGAACATGGGGGCAGCCACAAGCAAGACGTCAGTTGTTCCATCCCCATCCGTATCCAATGGGCAGAGCTCACTGCCAAAGTACGAGCCAATCTGGAGAGCGGTGGGTAGTGGTGACCCCAGAGGAAAGGGAAGGCAAGATTATGGACAAGTGGGAAGCACCTGCCAATCTGGTCCTCACATCCCTGACAGACTCTGCCAACCAGAATTCAACACAGACTTTTAAGGCCCCTCTCTTGTCCCTTCACTCTCTTCCCCCCACAGCCTGAAGGTCCCTCAGGAGCCAAGGGTCTCACCCTCCCTTGGATGCCCTACCTGCTCCCCCTGGAGGCTCTGGGCGACCCTCACAGCCCCATCTTTCTTAAGCTGGAAGGCGATGACCTTTCCTCGATGTCTAAACCGAGGAGCTCCTGAGAGAAAGAGGCGGCGTCCACCCCGCAAAAGCATGGAGGAAACTGAGTAACCTAGAAGTGGACAAGGAATCGGGGGTGAAAGGGAAAGAAGATGGGGTCAGAGTAGGAGGTTTCCCTAAAGGCACAGAAGGGGGTCCCAAAGGAAGGTAGCAGGAGATCAGTGAGAAACTGCATGAGTTAAGAGTGAGTACCTTATACCCTCCATCCCACCCTCCGCACTGAGGAAGCATTTTTTTTTCCCCCTCCACCGTCTAATCCTTTGCAGCTCTCTGCTACTCACCCAGGTAGGCTGCATGGTTCTGCAACGCAGGGGGGAACTCATCTTCCAGGGCCGTCCGTGGCGGGAAGAGGCGGCGACCTTCTTCAAGCCATAACACTGAGCCCCCCCAGTCATAAGCCCCTACCATCCCGAAGAGAATCCCATCCTGTAGGGCAGAACCAGATGGGGTCGCTGAAAAGACAGTGGGGAATAAGAAGAAAAAGCTCTCCAGGAGTGAGAGGGTCACTGAGGGCATGCTGGGGTCAGTTGGTGAGGTATAGGAAGGTCAGCATGGACATTGGTTAAAGGAGGAATCCAGAAGAGCCCTGGGGTTGAAGCTGTCTGAGTTAGAGGTTGGAAGGAGTCAGATGTTGAGAGGGGTCAGAGTCTGTCCAACCTTTAGCCGATGAGTAGAGAAACCAATCTGAGACATTTCCAGCCCAAAGGAGCTTTCATTCTCTCCGTGGGACCCTTGAGTGTGAGAAAACATCATAAGGCAATATAAGGGAAGACCGTTTCCCCTTTGACCTTCTGAACTTATTCCAGAAGACCACCTATACCCCAGAACTCCCCCTACCCTGTCCTCTGTTTCTCCAGGGTAATCATTACCCTCAAGGCCAAAAATCCGGTCCCCTAATGCATCCACAATGTCAGTCAGTGCTGCTTCATCTGTGACATTGAAGAAGAATCTCTCGTCTGGATCACTGGCAATAGCTCTGATTTCCCGCAGGAAAGTGCTGGGGTCTCGCTGCCGCCGGAGGTAGTGACCAAGGACCTGGGGGTCAGGAGATAAAGGTGGGGTCTGCTAGCTGTGTGCTGTGAGATGGTAAAGCTGTACAGGACACAGCCAACTAAAGAGAAGAAAGGGAATACGGCTGATGTCTGGGAAGTGGTCAATGCCCGTTTTCCTTAAGTTCCCAGTCCTCAGTGTCACCCTCCCCAGTCCCTTCTATCATTCCAGATCCAGAGCTGTTCTCACCGCAATCCCATAGCGTGTCACTCTGCCAGCTTCGCAGGCCTTTAGTGCTGTAGGAAGTTCCTCTCCATCATGTGACTCTCCATCAGTGACAACCACCAGTAGCCTGGCAGCCTCTGGTCGGCCCCCATGGGACTGACTGAATCCTTCTGTGCTGAGAAGAGAGAGAAAGGAGTGAGGTGTGATCAGACGTGTGCAGATAGATACACATACACACAGTACTTAACACTGTCGGCAGTTCACCGAGGCCAGGCCTCTTGCCTTTTAGCCCATTTCCCCAACTCTCTAGCGCAGAGACTGGCATACAGTAAGAGCTCAAATGTCTGAATGTCATAGAACATATAGAGCAGCATATCATCAATGCAAGTAAGTATAAAATCCATTCACTCATAGATTCATTCAGCAAATATTGTATTTAGGAGGACAAATATTAAGGGAACGTAGAATAAAGGAGAATGGTCAGGTCAGAGGAGTCTTCCCAGAGATGAGTTTTGTCACATTTGGAAAATGGGCTAGGACATGAGTGGTGGAAAACCCGAGGGCCAAGAGCAAAGTGGGAGTGGAGGTATATAGACAGACAGAATTCTGTCTGCAGAGATAAATAAAGCAGAAACATGGAGAGACACAGACACAGACAATTTGTAGAAATGCAATGAGTGCGATGACAGCCAATTTAGCCTTCCCCCACCTACATTAGCGTGCAAAAAAAAAAATAAGCTGGCAAGACATCTTGGGATGTACACACTGCACTCCAAAGCCTCCCCTAACCCTTCTGGCTTCCCACACCCCCCTTCCCAGTGCCTCACCAGGCCATCATTATTGCTTGAGCAGTCTTTGTTTCTCGCCCCTCCCGCCGGCTCAGGTTCCTTGCTGCTCTCACCACTTCTTCTTTGGTTCGGAAATCTCCCAGGGACCACTCATGTACAGAGCTCTCCCCATACTGTACCAGTCCCACCTGAGAATAAAGTGTGCACTCTAATGGAGTGTGTGTATGGGGGTGGGGGGTGGAGAAGGTATGCGAGGGAGGGGAGACGAGCACCTGGATACTACTGAAGATGCTACCTACATTTATCTCCTCTCTCCCTGTCTCTCCCCCTCCAAGCCCGTCCATGTTGCCTTCTCTTACCTGTATCTGCTCCGGGTCAATAAATAATCTCCCTACTAGTCTTCGCAGGAAGGTCTGAACTTCAGACCAGGGGTAGATGCTGTTGGAGCCATCCAACACAATGACGACATCCATGTATGTGGGACAGCCTAGGAGGAGGGGTATGGTGATGGGGAACAGAGGGGTAAAGGACATTGGGCATGGGGACAACAAGGGAAGAGGTCACAGGAGGGCACATTTAATTCAAACATTTATTAGGCACTTTTACATATACGGAAGATAGTGTGCCAGGTCCTGGGTAAATATAAAAATGAATAAAAGAGAAGATGGGCATATATACAATTGACTAAAAAAACAAAGAAGAAGGAATCAAGCGCTAGTAGAAACATAGCACCACTCTATGATGTGAGAGAAAAAAGGAGGGTCAGTCCTGATGGTGGAGAATCAAAGGAGGCAGCGACTGAGAAGATACTGAAGACTGGAGATGTTTGAGGAGAGGAGACAAAACAGGAAGGCATTTGGGTGGAGAACACTTTAAACAAAAAGAGATGGAGGTATAAAAATAGATGACACATAGGAGAATGGTGAGGTGAAGGCTATAGCCAAGGTGCAGGGTATGAAGGGATATAGTGAGAGCTGAGTTTTTGAAGTTGATTAAGTCAGTTCATGGAGTCTTGACGACCTGGTAAAGAGTCTGAATTCTCATCTGTTAGGAAACATGGAGCTTTTGTGGATATGTTAGGTAGCAGTGAGGATAAGCCATGCAGTTCCCCTGTCAAGCATCATACCCTGTGGCCCCATCTTTTTCCCACCCTGCACCCCGTTCTAGGGGCTGAGTCCTCAGGCCCTTCTCCTGGCTCACGTTGTACAGTGGGTGCCAGGCTTCCCTGGGGCCGGAACGAAGCATCTACACGGGCACATATCCCAGAACTGAAGACAGATGAGCCACAAGCACGAGACCAGAGAGGGGCACAAGCCTGGGGATGGGTAGAGGAAAGAGTTACTCCCAGGCTTGGGAGGGCACCCTCAGAACATGCTCTTTGTCAAAAGAGGCATTGAGACCACTCCCCAAGACCCCCCTCCTTGCTTTCTAGGGTTTTTAACTCCTTGACCCCTCCACATAGACCAGTTTCCCTTATCATACCACCCTTTTCTCTACCACAAACCGTCAGAGACCCCGCCACCACCCTTTCCTCAGCTTACCATGAATCCCCCATCACCAACTGTCTCCAGTAGAGACATCCCCAGGTGCATATTCACAGCAGGATGAGATGAATTTCCCAGTGGATAGTCACCTGGTTGGAGTGGAGTGGAAGAGCATGAGATCATGGGGTCACAGATGGGGTGACTGAGTTCAGGATGATTTTGGAAGAGGATGAGAAGAGGTCCGGATCAAGTCAGGAAGAGGAGTACGTGGGATATGGAGGTAAAGAAGTAAGGTGTGATATCACTCGTATGTGGAGTCTAATTTTTTTTAATGTTATCTATGAACTTATTTACAAAACAGAAACAGACTCACAGATTTTGAAAACAAACTTATGGCTACCAAAGGGGAAACATGGAGGGGGGAGGGATAAATTAGGAGCTTGGGATTAACATACACACACTACTATATATAAAATAGATAATCAACAAGGACTACTGTATAGCACAGGGAACTACACTCAATACTTTGTGATAACCTATGTGGGAAAAGAATCTGAAAAAGAATAGATACATGAATAACTAAATCACTTTGCTGTACATCTGAAACTAACACAACATTGTAAATCAACTATGCTCCAAAAAACTTAAAAACAAAAAAAAAATGTGAGGTGTAAGGGGTCAAAGCTACCAGTGTATCAAGGTTAGGGGTTAGGAGTGGAAGAGTGAGGAGTCTTCTTACCCAAGTGGCCCTTGGCACATGGGGCATTGTGGGAGCCCCCTACAGGGCAGCGATAAACATCCCCCCTTCGGTCGCCTGAAGGCCCATCCCAGGGCGCACCCACCAACATCCTGGGAGGAGGAAATGAATACAAGCATAGCGTAAATATGACACTTGAGATAGGCCAGAGGGAAAGGGCATGGTGACGGCAAGTCTAGAGCCCCAGCCATTTCCAAAGAACCAGATTAGTTTATATTTCCATCTACCTTGCCTCCCCTTTAACAGCTCTATCACAGTCCCAATCCCACGGCCCCCTGGTTTCCTCCTCACCATCGGCGTCCACCCCCAACATGTTGTAAGACACTGTATCCAAATTCAGCCTCCGGTGGCCCTGGAAATAGGCGTGGGTGATGCACGTCCAGGTTAAAGGGGGAGCAGAGACCTGGGGGGCCAGGATAATAAGGTTAGCAGGAATCAGCCAGAGAACCTAATGAATGCCCAGAGGTACAACCAGAGAGAAACCGTGGAGGGAACTTTTTGATCTCAGCCTATCTCCCTTCTTTTTACTCATAAGCTGCCCTGGACTCTGTGAATGTCATATACTCCAAGCAAGGATGATTTTCTTCCTGTGTTTGGGTCCAGATGTCTAACCTGTGGCCCTCTGCCATGCTGTTGCACAGATGTATTTCCATTCCTATCCCCCAAATTTCATTTACAGACATGTCTGGAAGGGTCAAGTTCCCCTTTTCTACATCATTCCTCCTACACATCCTCCTCTCCAAGCTGTGAGGGTCAAAAGAGGCAGAAGGCCTTTCTGCAGCCCCAGAACAACTATTCCTTACAAATTCTCCCCAAACCCAGGACCATAGGGAAAACAAGAGGAGGTTAGTGAACACTGCATGTCTGGGTCTCTTCTTCTCTTCCTGTCTCTTCTTGACTCCCAGTATCATTGTTACACTCTCACTCTCTTTCTCCAATGTCTAGGTCTCTGGCTGATTCCAGCCCTGGAAACCTCAGTGGTAATTAACTGGGTGGAGCCACTTGCCTACATCCATGGTTTGCCATACATCCTTTCCAAGGGTCCCATCACTCCCAAAGTTTCTCACGATCCACTTCCTTTGTAATTCATCCCCCCTCCCAACTGCCCCCTGCCTACTTGCATTTCTTCCTTAACTCTCAGCCCACTCTAAAGACCCCCTCAATCATGTTCTTGCTGACTCTTCCCTCCCAACCCCAATCTGTTTAAAATCAGAGCCGGTATTTTAGGAAACGAAGATTACAGGGCACTGATGAGGAAAAATTCCAGGCCTCTTGTCCCTCCCATGGTTCTTTCCCTGTGACTTGTTCCTTCAAGTAACCCCCACTCAGGCCACCCCACCACCACTTTCACCAATGGCTATAGCTCTGTCTCAAACCAAGCTCATTTTCAGAAAAGTGTTTTGTATGTGAGCCTTTTTGCATCCAGGAAACTGGCAAGGCTGTATGACCAGGAACTGTAGCACATTGGTTAGATAAACCCAGAGTTCTGACCACACAGTTAGTCAGTTATGTCTCAGGAACCCAGAGACCACCAAGGGCAGGGAGAAGTAGGGAGGGGGATAATAGTAATCAGACTAGCCATGTGGAAGTTCACATCATGTTTCTTTTTGGTTGCCTCACTCTTCCAGGGCTTAGGACAAGGTTTTATTTAATTGGACACAAATATTACACAAGGCACTGGACAGCTTCAGCCCTTGCCAGGCAGTCATATGTGTGGGCAAAAGAATGCAAACCCATGCGCATGTGTACGCACACACCACACACACACACACACACATATACACACACACACACACACACACACACACGAAACATAGAATCAGTTAACCTCTTAACCTAACTCCCAAAGAATTTTAACCATAAAGATCCCAATGCTAAACAATCCATATATCTTTCGTTCCCACCAGAAACCAAGACGTTAACCTCCCTCACCTGTCAGGAACATCAGGGGCAAGAACAGGTGGGGGATGAGGGGGAACTCCATGTCTGGATGTTCTCTGTCTGCGTGAGAAGTCCTCTGTGCCTCTGTCCCTCTCCTTCTCTGTTTTCTGTACTTTCCCTCCTATCCTGCCCCCTCCCACTGGCAGCTAAAAATAAAGTTGGAAGGAATGGGAGGAGTAATGGTGGGGAAGTGTGGGGAGCCCCAGACCAAGGAAAGGAGGAATGAGCGATTTTAGTGTATTTCTCTGCCTTGGTGCTGCCCCCTGGAGGCATCATCTCAGTATCCAAAGAGAACACAATTCTTGACTTTCTGTCCTTTCTTTCTCTTCCTCTTTTTTCTATCCTTTGTTGTTGCCTAGCAATAATGCTTTCCTCAGGTTTGGAATAGAAGGTAGGAGTGGGAGATAGATTCTTTTTACCTCCTAACCTTATTTATCTCAACCTGGAATATGGAAAATGAAAGAGCTGATAACAGTGATATCATTTCCCCACCTACTCAGAGTCCCAACATGTGAAGACACAGCCCACCCACAAACCAAGACTTACCATCTCCATTCCACTTAGTTCTGTTTGTGACTCTTAGCCTATGCTGCCTTATGGCATTATAGTTTTTGGAGGAACTATAAACCATGAACTGGTATGGGGTATGCTTTGTGGAACCAGTATTATTACTTTAACATTAGACCCCCATCTCCTCAACTAAGCTATAAACTTCTGAAGTTGGGACCATGGAGCCTCTTAGCTTTCTGTATCTCTATCACTTAGTACTATGCCCTACATACTGTAGATGCTCAATAAAAGTCTGTGGGTAATGATGCCAGTGGCTAACCCTATGGAAAACGCAAACCATAGTGACAGAAACAGGGGCCTCAGATGACCAGAACACATGGGACCAGACCAAACATCAGTGAGCAAATTGATCTTTAATTTGCTAACCTGGAAGGCTTTGCTATCCATCATGGGCTTGGGCCTCAGCTATTTACACAGAATCACTATACAGTATTTACAACAAGATGCTAAACATAGCATCATTCTGGATAGGCAAAGAAGGGGTATGGAAAGGCTAGAACAAGGCCCTGAAATCAGAGTGTGAGCAGAAACCTGCAGGTGTGAGTGGAGGGAAAGGTAAGGGCAAATCATGAGAAAGCTTGGTGAGGTAGACATGAGAGAGGAAAAGGAAGCATGAAACTACTTCTGGTGCATGTGGGAAGAGTCCACTGGGACATCAAGCCTTCAAAATTAAATCTGGAGTCTGAAGGGGAAAATAACAGCCACAAGTCACCTTTGTGAGGAAAAAGAAGAAGGCAGTTAGAACCTTATAGACCATGCCTTCTACCTCCCATACCAAAAAGTAATCCTGCTGATTAAATTCCTATGACAGGGGACTGAGAAGGTACAAAAGAGATACAGAGACAGAATCTTAAATAGACTTAAGAGACAGTAAAAAGAGTCAAGAGAGACACAGACAATGCAATGAAGGAGGAAAAGAACAAAAGCTCCAGCAGATCTGAACATGTGAATCATCCAAGTGACTTCACAAGTCACCTCTCCTCACCTCATCTTCCCCAAAGCTCCTCCCTCTTACTCCCAAATCTCTGGATTTTAGCTTTAACCAAGGAGTGGAGTTAGAATGAGGCCGGTACACGGGGACAATCTAAAATTCCATCTCACCAATTCAGATCCCCTCCTTATCCTGTACCAGAATATCAGGGCTTGAGTCGGAGCCAAGGGCAGATTAGGGTGAGAATAGACAGGATGGAGGACACGAGGCCACAAAGTCCCACAATTCCAGGACCACAGCGCCAGAGGCCTAGTTTGTCCAGTGGAATGAAGAGATCACAGGCATTTCTGACCACATCCAGCAGGAGAGGGGGATGACCTCGAAGGACCCGAGCCAGGAGCAAGACTCGGAGCCGAAGCTTCAGAGCCACCTGAGGCAGACCTCCTCCTGGAGCCCCTGGACCCCCAGGTCCCCCAGTTTCAATTCCTCCTGGGACTCCTCCTCCAGAACCCTTCAGTCGTCGACTACAAGCTGAAGACTCTTGTTCCATCAGTAGGCGAATCTCATAAGCATCACGACTCAAGTTCATGATGAGGGAAAACAGATAGTACCTGGGATACACAGGGGAGAAAGGTCAGTACAGATACATATACCCACTTAGCATATCCAACAGAATATTTAAACTTCTTTCCCCCATAGTGCAAAAGGATTACATATTAGAATACCAGAAGTGAATGTTATTACCCACTATGAGAAATGTCCTTCCACCTTTCTGTAACTAATGAGTTTATGTGTACCTTAAGATTCTGGCTTACAATAATGAGCATCACGAAATATTCCAAGTTCAACCTCATATTTCACTTTTCCACTTGGCAACCCATTAGCATACACACATTCAACTTGAACTACAATAATGCAAAATTTTTTAAAAGAACACCTTCAGGACTTCCCTGGTGATGCAGTGGTTGAGAATCCGCCTGCCAGTGCAGGGGACACAGGTTCAATCCCTGATCCGGGAAGATCCCACATGCGCGGAGTAACTAAGCCCGTGTGCCACAACTACTGAGCCTGTGCTCTAGAGCCCTCGAGCCACAACGACTGAGCCCACATGCCACAACTACTGAAGCCCGCGCGCCTAGAGCCCATGTTCCGCAACAAGAGAAGCCACAGCAATGAGAAGCCCGCGAACCGCAATGAAGAGTAGCCCCCACTCGCCCCAACCAGAGAAAATCCCGCGCACAGCAATGAAGACCCAACGCAGCCAGAAACAATAAATAAATAAAATAAAATAATAAAATAAATAAATTTATATTAAAAAAACACCTTCAGTTGTTTCAAAGACTCAAACACATAGACCATTTAAATCCAATACTCTTGTTAAAAGAAAACAAGCAAAAAAACGACGCCAAGCTTGCCAAATCTGTTAGATTATAAATTCCTTAAGAACAATCTACGTTTTTTGATTTTTAATCCATTCTGACAACAGTAGTCTGTATTCAATATAACTGTCCTACCTCTAATACATATCCTGAATCCACATCTATCTATTGTACTCCACCACCACAGTCTAAGCTACCATCATATCTTGCTTGAACTACTACTTTAGTCTTTTAACTGGTTTCTCCACTGCCACTCTTGTCCCCCACCCCCAAGAATCTAGTTTCATATAGTAGCTGGCATAAACGTAAATCACATTGTACCCTTTCTTAAAACTCTCCATGGTTTCCTTCCTATCACATTTAGAATAAAATACCTTAGACAGGCTTACAGAACTCAACATCTGACCCTGCCTCTCTAATTCCATCTTGTACCATTCTTTCCTTCAATCACTATGCTCCAGCCACACTGGTTTCTTTCTATATTTTGATCCCATTAAGCTTGTTCCTGCTTTAGGACCTTTACACTACCTCGTCCCTCAACCTGGAATAATCTCTCTCCAAAATCTTCAAATGGCTGGCTCTTCCTTGCACTTTAGGTCAGAGCTTACATGTCACCTCTTCAGAGAAGACTTCTCTGACCCTCGATTCTGAAGTAGCAAACCATTTACTGTCTATCACATGACCCTATTTTAATTTCCTGCACAGCACTTACCACTCTCTGATGTTTTTCTTATTTATTGTTTCTTTGTCCCTTCCCATTACAATGTAAGCTCCATAGGAGCAGGGATGTTGTTTGTCTTTACCACTGTATCCCTTTGTCTAGACCAGTGCCTAGCACATAGTAAGAGCCGAATAAATATTTACTGAATAAAAGTATAAACATGGCATATAAACTCTTCTAGCGAGTTGCTTTTCCATACCACTCCAGCCATGCCTCTGCCCCCACCCTTCATACACCATAAGTCTTGTTATAACTGTAATCACTGAGAAAGATGAAAAGAAAAGAGAGACATAAGTGGAGATGGAAAGATGCTAATATAAAATAACAAAGCAAGTCATAGGGAAACAAATAATATGTATAGAGATCATTTTATTCCCAAATCATATTCCTTTCCACCTTCATTACAGCCTGCTCCTTAGTCCAAGCCAACATCATTTCTTGGCCATATTAGGGCATCTTCTCCTCTTTAGCATTACTGCAATCCATTTTCCGCACTACAGCCAGAGGGATCTTCTTTAAATGCAATTTGAATCATGTCACACCCCTACTTAGAACCCATTGTACTTAGGATAAAATTTAAACAAAACTAAATGAAAAAAATCCTACCATTACCTAGAAGTCCTTGCATGAATGATCTGGTCCATGTCTACCTGTCCAGTTTGAACTTATGCCCTTACTCAATACCGTCCACCACACTGGCTTTCTTTCTACTGCTCTAATTCCATGAAGTTTTTCTTGGTTCAAGGCCTTAGAATGAGCTATTTTCTGTTTGGAATGGTCTTCTCTGCTACTGTTTGCTTTGTATAACTTCTACTCAGACATCAGGTCTGAAATAAAATTTAATTTTCTCTAAGAGTTCTTCTCTGACCTTTCGATCTAAATTAGCTTCCCCTGTTATGTATCTCATAACACCCTGTACTTCCCACAAATATTTGGTTTGGTGATTATTTGTTTTAATATCTGACTCCCCTACTAGACTAGAAGCTTCATGAGAGCAGGAACCATAGCTCTTGGGCTCTTTGCTTTATTCCCTGGCTCATAGTAAGCAGCTACTAAGTATTTTTAGAATGAATGAATGAACGAGTAAGCAGTGAGGGGCATAAACCTGTGGTATAGACAAAAGCGGAATTAAAGCAATGTAATGAATATCTAGTCTTGTCCAATCTTAGTCATTCATCATGAAAGAGCATCTGTCTTCCATCTGCCCCCATTCATTATTCTCTGATGGTTTAAGATCTAAATGAAGGTTAGAAGCCAAGTGATTAGGATGTGTATATTATGGGAAGGCCCTAAAAGATCATTCTCTCATGAAAGGCAAGCTATGCAGTATGGAGAATATGATAGGTCTTGTAGGATAAAAGGATATCAAACCTGAATGAACGCTGGGCCCACTTCTCCTGATCCACACGGGGAGCAAGTCCAGACTTTCCAGCCCACAGGACATTGTCACAGGCGAAGTACAAGGCTCTATTGAGGTGACTAACAGTGATGCAGAATCTCAGGACAACATCTGATAGGTGCACAGCTCGTTTGGCTGACTCAAGGGCATCTGCTGAGTTACCGAGGCGTAGAACTTGTGGGGATTAGCAAAGAAAAGGAAGGATTTGAAAGTAGAGAGGCAAACAGAGAGCAAGACACAGAAAAAGAGAGAAAGCAAGAGAGTGAAAGTCGAGCAAGTAACAGGAACAATAATGAACAATTTTTTAAAAAAAGAGTAGAAATAGTTCAATTTTTTTTACGTCCAATTTTTATTAATTTGTGTCCCAGTTTAGTCTTCTCAAATTTGCCTCATTCTTTCCAATCCTTCATTACTCTTACACCTGCTCTCTCACCTCAATCGGGAGGCTTGCAGAGGATACGGGTAGAGGCAAATGAGGGAGAATCGGCAGAGAAGGTCAAAAACAAGGAGGGACTAAGGAAGAATAGCTGGGGATGGAGGAAGTGTTGAGGTAATAAAAGGAAAGGCACAATTACTTACGCTTTCTCCCTAGGCTCAGATGACCCTCCAGTTGTCGAATCTGTTTCTGTAACTCAGAACTGGCCCCATGTTTCTGCAGTGCATGGCCAAGAAGGGAGCAAGCATACTGGGCGGCCCTGGAGGAGAGAGAGGAGAGAGAGGTAAGGTAAGGTGGAGACCTCCCTCCTCTCCCCCTCAAAAATGTACTTCAAAAGGCAAGTATGGACTCCCCCTTCCCCTGTTTGAGACCATTCCCTTTCCTCCTTTTCATGGCCATATCTCACTGTTTCTCCTCCAGGCCAGGGGAAGAGACAGGCGTAAGAATAAAAAGGAGCCTAGAAGGGGTTGGGAAGCACTACTTCGAATTCAGGAAATAAGAGATCTGATAATGTAAGGCCTGAAGAGGACAATGAAGGCGGCAGGGGGTCCATCACAAGCACATCAGTGTGAGCATGTATGTGATATGTGAGGGAGTGGTGGATAGTTGGAGGACAGGTTATTCTTCAAAATAGGTGAACTAAGAGATTTTCCAGGCCCTTGAGATGAATCGAGACTAGAAGGCAAGGCAGAGGCAGAGGAGCTAGCGGGTGACAGTAGGGTGAGGGACACGGGAACTTCGGAGTGCCTCCTCCGCTCTGGGAAGAGTCCAGGTCGCTATCTGCCACGGAGCGAACGCTCCTCATTCCGCCATCGCCCAGTGAGGAAAGTGCTGGTCTTACATGAACACGCAACCCTGAGCGGCCTCCCCGCCGGCCCACTCGTGCCTCAGTTTCCCCATCTTTCCCGCGAGCAGAAACGAACCACGGCCTCACGGCCGGCTCAAATCAGCCCCTCTCGGTCCGTCCGGGCCCCCGTAGCCCGATCTGACCCTTTATGACCCCCGTAGTGTGAACTGACCTCGCCTCAAGATGGTCTTCCTCTGCCCGCCCTCCCCCCATTCCTATTCGGGCCGCACCTACACAGCCGCTCCCGGGCCTGGCTCTGAGCGCTGAAGCGGACCCAGGCGTCCATGACAGCGGCAGCCCCGGCTCCACAGCTTCGCTCCCGCCCCACTTCCCGCCCCTAGTCACGCCTCCTGGACGACCCAACGGTGCCGCGCGAGGGACAAACATCGTCCGAAAATAAAGGGAGTGGAGCCGTCCCTGAAGCGGAACTTCAGAACGAGAAGCCCCTGTCTCTGGGCCTATACCTGCGTGTTTTTTGTGCGTGTCTCCGTCGCCTTGTCCTCTAATCAGATGATCTCTGTTTCCTAAGCACACCTCCAGAGGCACATTCTTCTTTAAATATTCTGGACCAAGGGCGGGGCTTGCAGGAGTCCGGGCGTAGCGAGACTGCGCCGCAGTGCTCCCGCCAGGGCCGCTAGGATAGGGTTGCCCCCAACCCTGGGGTGTTTCCAGCAGAACACCCCCAACACACACACACTCACTCGCACGCTACGACCGAATCCAGGGCTCTAGGGGCTAAAGAAGTCTATGGAAGTAGAAGCCAGCACCAGATCCCTGTTCCCTGCAGGACCCTGACAGTTGGACAGGTGACCTCCAGAATACAGACGGAGAGTCTCCAGAGACAGAGGCTTTAGTGGACGAAATTCGCAAAATACCCAACTCATATCCTTAAAAGGAGAGAGAAGAAACAGTGGACGCAGCTAACCTCTTCAAACCCACACTTCATCCCCCTACCCCTTTCCCTTCCAGGTCACCATGTCGGCACGCAACGGCACCCCTTGGGGGTCAGCAGCGGGATCAGGAGTAGAGGTGGAGGGCGCAGAGCTGCTCACCTTCTCAGCTGCCGCCAAGGTCCGAGTGGGAGTGAGTGTTGCGCTGTTTGTTTCTTCGGCTGGAGGAACCTGGCCGTGCTGTTGTCAGTGACACGGCCGCAACCCAGCCAGCTCCGCCCCTCTCCGGTAAGACGACTCTTTGCCCATTTAGCAGCTGCCGACTTGCTGGTCACTTTTGTGGTCATGACCATAGATATAGTTATGCCACCAGGAATATCACTGTTCAATGGCTGGCCGGGGACATCGCATGTCGGACACTCATGTTCCTGAACTAACGGCCATGTATGCCGCAGCTTTCCTGCCTGTGGTCATTGGGCTCGACCGCCAGGCAGCCGTACTCCACCCGCTTGAACCCCGCTCAACTGGAAGGAAACTTCTGGGAGCAGCCTGGGTACTCGTTTTCTCGCTTGCCTGGAAGGTGAGTGACTTGTCGGAACTCAGGGCTAGACTGGACAAGAATTTGGGTACACAACAGGAGCCTTCGGATTCAAGGGGTGTGCTTGGCCGTGGTCACCGTTAATCCTCAGCGTGGGGCCTCTGCTATCTCTCTTGCAAGTTAAGATCACTGCATGTTAATTTGTACTTCTGTTAAGAGCCTTTGTTTTTACTACACTTGGCTTCCACCTCTTTGCCTCCTCCGAGTCCCACCTTCTTCAGATTATTGCAGAAAAACTCTAGGGCATGGTGGAAACATATACGGGAAGACATTAAGAAGACAGTGAAATCAGGGGCTTTGGGTAAAACTTTGTGGTACATTCATTCATCAATTCAGAAACTAATGTGCATCCCCCAGGTGCATTCAAATGCTCTATCAAGGATAGAGCAACAAAGTCCTGCCTTCAAGAAATTTATAGACTAGTGCAGAGTCAAATTAGTACGCAATTACAATACAGCGTGCAGTTAAGCATTATGCTAAAGGTAAGCATAAGGAGCTGAAGAACTGTCCAAGACCCACTCTTGGACAGTCAGGGAAAGCGTCCTGACTTCCCAGAGATGTTACAATTTGATTCTTGAAAGATAGGTGCTAAGACAAATTACAGCAGGAGGAATGCTGGAGAAGGTGGAGGGTGGATGATCTCAAAGAAGCTGCAGCTAAAGTTGAGGACTAGAAAATGGTGAGTAATGAGCCTGGAGGGGAAGGAAGAACCAGATCACAAATATTAAGCTTGTACTTTATCCTGAGGGCAGTGGAGAGACACTAAAGTAAAAGGTGGAGAATGACATAATCAGATTTGTATTTTTTACTCTAGCTTTATTATGGGTATCAAAACTGGAACAAAAGGGAGCATCTGAACTTGAGTACCAAGTAATCAAATCTCAATATTGAAAATGAACTAGAAATCTAGAAAAAAAAAAGCTAAATATGAAGCAATTTCTTCAAAAAAACCAGAACCACTACCACCATCTGGGAGGAGGGTGTAAAGCAGCATCTCTGAGTCTAGGGTTAGGATTGTCAGGGAGAGGGCTAAAATTTCAGTCTCTGGAATAATGCATTACAGAGTCAGATTTAAGATTTGATCCTTAAATCCTCAAATATTAGAAATATAACTAACAACAGTTTAGTCTGACTGCAGTTCTAAGACAAACAAAAAATATTGCTTCCAACAATATGTTGCAAACAGGACCTCTGCTACCCAAAGTTTTAAAAAGCAGCATGTTGCCTCAGTGCAAAAGGAATTAGTTGGGTTTATATGAAGCAAATTTTAGATGTGGACTGGGAATTAGAATTAGGATTGCTTTTGTTGTTCGTTTGTATTACTTTGCTCTGTTTTTCCTGAGTCTAGGCTCTACCACTAACTAGCTGGATGACTTTGGATAAATCACTTGAAACATATAGGCCACAAGATTATGGAATAGGAGATGCATTTCATCCTTTCTTAGAGCCTGACAATCCAACGACAACAATGCAATCTCTATTTGCTTCAATAGCAAACTGACGGTAACATGATTCAGGTGCAAAAGGTGTTACTTTGGGCTCTAAATTAGCGACCTCTTGTATAAATTCTGCATTGCCCATATGTTGCATTTAAAATATTAGTGTCAATAAAAAATTGTTAGTATGGTAAAGGGAATATTGGTGTAGTTAGAAATTATTTTTGTAGACTCAAGTTTTCAAGAATCAGAGGTAAAGACTTCTACAGTAGGTAAATTGCACATAAAATAGGGAAAGGAGTCAGAGGTAGGGCTATGGACCAAAACATAAGTCCAGGAGACTTGCCTATTTTTTAAATTAATTAATTAATTAATTTGGTTGTGCCAGGTCTTAGTAGCAGCAGACGGGCCCCTTAGTTGTGGCATTCGAACTCTTAATTGTGGCATGCATGTGGGATCTAGTTGCCTGACCAGGGATCGAACCCTCCCCCCTGCACTGGGAGCGTGGAGTCTTCTACGCCACCAGGGAAGTCCTGCCTATTTTTAAACCCCTTCTCACAACCTGTCAAGTATTTCTAGGCATGGTGCAAAATCGCGCCCCCACCCCCCAAGAAAACGGCCAGAAACATATGGACTCAAGATAGGGGAAGAGGAAAGACCACTTCCCAACTAGCTCAGAATAGCCTGATCATAACTCCAAGCAGTTCATAAAATTGTATGTCTGTGGCTCATACTATTCACCTTTCCTAAAAGTCCCTCATGCCTGCTGAAATCACTTTCCAAATGCCTTCCTTGTATCTAGAAGTTTGATACCTACTAAGCTTGCCTTTTATCCAACTAGTAGTGACTCAATCTACCTTACCTGAAACTCAGGTACTAACCCTGAAGCTCTCAACTGAAAAATACTCATTACTGATTCAAACCAAAAACCCAGTTTACCAAAAAGGAGAAAGGGCAGCCAACAGCATTTGGAAAACGTTACATTTTATTATTTAACGTTGTTTCACCATTATAGTTGTACACATGACTATTACTACAGGTCACTTTACAGTGACTGCAAAATGGCCTGAAATTTTAGCAGCACCCATTTTACACAAGAGTTCTTTTTTCCACAGAATCATAGACACATCAGGAAAATAAGTTCAGCTTAAAATGTTGGTGAGGAAAAAAAAAAACGTTGGTGAGGTGGTAGAGATATCCTTTGATAAAATGCAATGTTAGAACAGTACTTGAGAAGACAGGGTTCTTTAAGTCCCAGATTTAACAAACATAGCCTAAGAGGAAGATAGGGATTTTCAAGATACATTCCTAACCTTTTAAATATGGCATCATGGATGTACCATTACTCAGCACTGCAGGAAATTAAGAACGAATTGGAATTATGCACTGTATTAGCTCCCAAGTTTTCTCAACAATCTCATTAAAAAAAAAAAAAAAGAATTGGGAAGAGATACTGTTGAACTGGTGGGTAGGTTGGCATGGGAGGGGAAAGGGAGACCAGTTCTAATAGTCCTTGACTCCACTCCAGCTGTTCTGTTCCACACCGTCTGCTGAGCTGGTCCAGTCCCCTTCACTCAGTGTCACCAAAAGCAGCTTCAAGGCTTGATGGCAAGAGACCACCTCTTCACCTTCTGCTGCCTCTTTCTGCTGCCACTGACTGCCATGACCGTCTGCTATAGCCGCACTGTCCTCAGTGTGTCCAGTCCCCGGACAAGGAAGGGGAACCATGGTGAGACCCCAACCGCCAGGCCCTAACCCGTACCCTAAAACTATTGCCTCTAGCCTCATAAATTTGATAGCTAGCTATCAAACCAAAAGTGAGTTGCTAACCATATCTCTAGCAGCTGATGCTGCACATAACTTTATTGAATGCCTTCAATTCTAACCAGCCACTAGCCATCATTCTCTGAAGTGGAGTTAGCTGGGCAAGAATTAAGGAGAAGGGTGATCAGTATTCCTTTGCTCTTGGACACCAACAAGACTTCAAATAGACTTTGTAGCTTCATGTAACACAACAGCACCTCAATCGAAACCTTTTTTGCAGCACGTCTGTCATAATCTCTGGTGGGAGGGGAGCGTATAGTCCCAGGTTGGGGAGGGGAAGAGGGCTTGTACCATTCTCTTCCTTATAAGGGGAGAGCTCCATCTCACTATTTCTGCCCATCCATCAACTCAGAAGCTGAGTGGTTCTGAATTTGAGTGTATTTTCTAAGTTCCCAGCCCCTGCCAGTGAATTTGCCCTCTGCCGCTCCTTAGACAATCGCCCCCATGTTCATCTTCAGGGTCTGCGACTGGCCCTGCTTGTCTTCCAGACCTTCGTCCTCTGCTAGACATCTTATAACCTGCTGGGTCTTTGGTACTGGTTCTCTCCCACCACGCTAACTGAAGTGCCTCCCAGCCTCAGCCACATCCTTTTCCTCTTTGGCCTCCTCAGTGCTCCTCTGGATCCTCTCCTCTATGGGGCCTTCACCCTTGGCTGCCGAAGAGGGCACCAAGAACTTAGTATAGACTCCTCCAGGGAAGGAGGTTCTGGGAGAATGCCCCAGCAGGAGATTCAGACCCTTAGACAGATGAAAGTACAAACAAAGGTGGCAGCAAGAAAGGCAGGAGAAACAAAAGAGACATTCCTATGACATCCATTTGCTCAGAAGAGCATATTTAAGAACAGAATAATTATTCTCTAGTATCATGAGAACATCTCACTTGTACCCCTGGCTCCCTTAGCTTCCAAAAGAAAGAAAGAAATACTGAGCAGTGTTTCTACTTTGACCCTAGGTGAGACTTGAGACTATATTTAATGTAGAAACTCACACAGAATTCAGTCCCTGGAAGAAGTATCTTCGCAGTGACCCAGAGTGTCTTACTGTAAACAGTGCTTCAGAGCTTGCAATGTTAGAACAGGAAAGTAATTTTAGAAAACAAAAATTGGACATTTATTCATAACTCAAAAGAAACACTAAGCAGGTAGGGTAAGAGATTAAGTACAGATGCAGTGAGTTCCACCCCAGCCCTATTTCTCCAAGGCTGCATAGTCAAATGGAATCTCTGGAGAGAACACCTGGACAACAGAGGATGGGTCAGCGACGCCTCCGGTCTGGACTCCTGCTGCGTCTGCGGCCACCTCTAGGGAGAAGGAAAAGGGGCAGGGTCCATCAGAGGGACATAATGCCATGTCCTTATTCTGTTTTGCTCATATTTCCTCCACTAAGATAGTGTTTCCCCTCTCCACTTTACCTCCTCTTGCCCTTGGGTGGACCCCGAACAAAACACCAGTCTACGCTGATCGGCTGTCCCATCAAATCCTGGCCATTGAGTCCTTCCATAGCAGCTTGGGCCTCCTTGTATGTTTCATACTCAACTAGAGTATACCCCTGGAACAAGTGAAAAGACAGATTATCAAAACTCTCCTATTCCACCAAGCTTTTTTCTACTCAAACAGAAAAATCCACAAACTCTAAACAACAAATGTACGTTATATATCCCTATTATATATACAACTTGTCTGTTTCTGCCTGTCTCTTTGCTATGTCTAACAAAATCAATTCCCAAAGTCATTTTATTTCAACTTTACTCTTGGCCAACCACAGCAAACATGGGAGAACTACCAATGCTGTCTAAGGTTTATGCGTGAAGAGAAGCAATGGAGTATCACTCAGAATACCTTTAGATATCCTGTACGTCTGTCCAGGTTGAGGTGGATGTTTTTTATTTCTCCATACTCTGCAAATTTATCATGGATGTCTTCTTCCGTGGCTTCCTCATGGACTCCAGTAACAAAGAGAATCCAACCTTCAACAGCTGTTCGGGAAGGGAGGGAGGTTGTTTGAGCACATGAAAGAAAAACTTCAAGCAAGATCACAGAAGTAGAGTGTGTGCAGACTCCACAGAGACTGGTTAAGCTACCTCTGACCCCATTCCTACTGGGTTTTATTTCATTGGCCCCTAATTCTCTACAGACAAGACAGGTTCCATTTACTTACAGCGCTGTGGTCCGGGTTCATCGCCATCCTGCTCCACGCTGTCATAATCCTCACGCATCCGCGCTCGAGACCCCTCTTCTATTAGAAAGACACAGGAGATCACCGGAAATCCCCCTCCTCCCACTGTTCACCATGAGTCTTTATGGGGACTCCAAAGCTCGTCGCTCTCGCCATTCTAGACCCCATTCCACCCACAAACACTCACCGGAGCCAAAGCCACGGCCCTTCCGTTTCTTCGCTTTTTCTTTCAGTTTGTGGATGCTCTCTGCAGCCCCAGAAGTGAAAGAATAAGTGAGAAAGATAACAGTTATTTACAACAATAGTCTCCTTCCAAGACATTATCTGAAACCAGACCCCACCACCTCCAGGTTCAGTCCCTTCCCGGCCCGCCCCCATTCCTCCCATCGGGGGCGGAGTCTCCAACCAACCGAAACCCAGTTCCCCGGCTCCCATCCTCCTTACTGGGGGGAAAGATTATATTTTCCTAATACGTCCTTCTCTCGCACCTTCCCCGCTTCCCGCAGCCGCCTCCACTGTCCTCACCGTCCCCATCCTCATCCATGGCGAAATCCTCGCCCCCGGCCTCATGAAGATCCAGTACGTCCGCCATCTTGCCTAAGCTCTAACTCTCGTCCGTGGCGCTCAAGCACTTGGCTCCTCGGGAAACTGTCGCGGATGGGAAAGGTCTCCAGTCAAGTTGACCAATTAAAAACGAACTCTAAGTCCTGCCCTCGGCGCGGTAATAATACGCAGTGGAGGCGGGCCTACTTTGGGAAGATACCGGAAGTGCTCCTGTAGCCATCTTGAGCGGGTCGCGAGCAGAAGGGGGCAACCCCGTGTGGGACACGCTGGGGGTGTGGGCGGAGCTAGTGACTTACTCTTACCTAGAGCAGACAACGAGAAACACTACTGACAGTGAAGCCCAGCCTAATTTTATTAGAGGGTTGCTTTTCGTCTCTTTTCATTCCATACCAGGAAATGGAAGTTGAAGAAAGTTTTTTCTCTAAAAACTTGCAGGCCTATACTCTTCCGAGGAGCAGCCGGATCTGTGATGGAAGCATTAAAAAAAAAAATTGTTCGGTCAGCAATGCTGCCTCAAAAAGCTGCTTCTGTAACGTACTGCAGCATGGCCTTTCTCTCTCAGAAAATCAGCAGACCTGGGTGTCCGTGTTGATTGATGAGACAGATATCAACTTTTCTTTTTTAAAAAATAATCTCTCTGGGAATTCCCTGGTGGTCCAGTGGTTAGGACTCCCGCTTTCACTGCAGGCGGGGTTCAATCCCTGGTCAGGGAACTAAGATCCTGCAAGCTGCCTGGCACGGCCAAAAAAATAAAACTAAAAATCTCTCAAACTCTGCCTACCACCTCTGGGAATTAAAATATCATGGCTGTAAACAAAATAGGGGCTTTAGCTTCTTTGAGGATAGTACAGATATTTCACGTTTAAAAACCCAGGAGTTGAGGCAAGGAAAATATTGCCCCCACATTCTGGAATCCGACGTAGGCCTTACACAAACAATAGTGAACTGCATATTCACTTATTTATTAATTTTTAAATCAAACAGTTATGAATGCCTATATGTGTGTCTAATATTAGAAGAGGTGCTAGCAAGACAAGGGGAAATACTTGCATTATCAACAATCACTTTATAATAACATTATGAAAGTGATCGTTGCCATCACAACGCACTAAGGCAATACAAAGAAAGTTTCTAATAGGATGGGAAGTAAGAGTGCATTTAAGGGAGGGCTTCCATTTAAACTTGGCCTTTAAGTCTGGGTACTTTCTCAGGCAAAGGAGTTGTATTGAGACTAAGATACACTAATCCGTTCTCTGCAATATGTAGTGTGATCTTTTAAAAAATCAGTTGGTCACATCTCTACTAAAAACCCTTACTTGACTTATTTTTGCACTTAGAATAAAGTTCAAACTCAGACAGCCTGCTCTGCCTATGTCTCCAAACTCTTCCACCACCATTCTTCCCTCTCACCCATTAAGCTCTCGCTATACTTTCCCTCAACTATGTTCTACTCTTTCCCATCTCTGGACTTTTTGTAACTCTCTGTCCCTGATGTTCTTGCTCCAGCTTTTCACATGGCTAGTTCAACCCTGTCCTGTAGGTCTCCCTGAGATACTACTGTCACCCAGAGGGGTCTTCTCTACTCCATCTTTCATTCTTATTTCCTTCACGGAACTTAAATTCAAATCTTTAATTACCTTGTTTACTTTCTAACTTGTTTATCGTCTGTTTTTCCCCTTAGAATGTAATCCTTATGGCAGAGATTCTTATGTACAACTATATCCTCAAAGTTTAGACCAGTGCCTGGTTCATAGTAGACATTTGGTAAATATTATTGAATGAATATCAGAATGGCAAGAAATTCCATATGCCTGATGCTGTGTAATCAGGAAATAAAGCTGGAAATATAGTTTAGGGCCAAACTGTATGTCATGCTAAGGATTTGGAACTTACCCTATAGGCAAGAAATTTTTCTAATTCAATATTTTAGTATTCATAATTTTTAACATTTGCAAATAGCCCCCATACTATTTTCAATTTGTGTTTTTTCCTTAAATAGACTGGCGTTTTAAACAAACTTACACTAAATTTAAATATCACTGCCATAAATGGAAAACATTTTTCTATTACAAATTCAGCTAAAAGCATAACTAGTAAAAATGAAAAATGTTTGGCCACGTACCACCTAAAATCTTCTCAGATAATACCAAGGGTTCACATATAAAATTTGGGAAGTGCCACTAAAGGTACAGATAGCTAAGTGATGGTTTAAGCAAGGGAGTGGTACAGTCATAAGTATTTTAGAAAGAAATCTGATAGTAGTGTGGAGGATGTTAAGAATGAAGTTAGAGACTAATTAGGAAGCTACTGCAGTGGTCCAGCCCCGAGTTGATAAAGGACTGAACTAAGACAGTAGATATGGACAAAACAGATTGGGAAGTTTGTACAGAAAGTAAACTCAACAGTAAGTGACTGATTAGATGATAATAGGGAGGCATTGAGGATGGATCTGAGGTTCTAGCTTAGGTAGCTGGGCAGATAATAATTTCTATAGCAGATCTGGGGAGTCAGAGGAGCACGTATGGAGAAATGGTTTTATTTTAGATATGTAAGTTCAAAGAGCTTGTGTCATTCAGGTGGTAATGTCCAATATGTGGAAATATAGATGTAAAAGCTCAACAGTTTGGGGGGCTTCCCTGGTGGCGCAGTGGTTGAGAGTCCACCTGCCGATGCAGGCGACACGGGTTAGTGCCCCGGTCCGGGAAGATCCCACGTGCTGCGGAGCGGCTGGGCCCGTGAGCCATGGCCGCTGAGCCTGCGCGTCCGGAGCCTGTGCTCCGCAACGGGAGAGGCCACGACAGTGAGAGGCCCGCGTACCGCAAAAGAAAAAAAACAGTTTGGGGTGAGAGGAACAGTTTTGAGCATTGTATGATAGTGGGTACGACTGCCAGCGGAATGGGTAGAGCTTCAGGAGAAAGGGCCAAGAACAAAATTCAGGCTCCTCAAATGTCTGGAGAAGCAGAGGCAGGTGCCTTCCCCCAGCAGTACAACCTTATTTCTACCACCAAAAAAATACTAAGAAAAGTTCTTTTTTCATATATATGTAAAAGAAAGGGTCATTTTAGAGCTCCTCTGATACATAGGTCTCAAGAAAGAATCAATCTGGCTCACTAGACAAAAATCTATTTTTAATTGTATAAAATTATACATATAAAATACATAGAAAGTACTAAAAGGTAAGTAAAACTTTAACACCAAAAGTAGACAGATCAGGGAACAATTTTTCTCAAGTTCTTTGGGATCTTACTGGTTGGTATTTGAGAAAAATAATCCAGGAGGTGCAAAGACAAGTTCTTCCCATAACTCAACACCCCTTAACACTTCCCAGAGAAAAGAGCAAAGGAGAAATGAGGGTTTATGATATCTGGATTATAAATATCAATAAAAATTGAATAGACACACCTATTATTTAATGTAGGAGCCTCTGCTCCAACCCTACATGTGCTTCATGGAATACAGAGATGGAGCTTGGAGAATTCAAGGAAATCCCTTTCAAGCACTAATGCAGTTGTTGCTAGATTCCTTGCCTCTGATCCCATATGTACTGGTCACTAAGATGATTTCAAAAGCAAGAAAGCTGACTTTCATCTTTTCCCTATCTGATCCAAAAGAGCAAACTGTAGCCTGTTTCCTAACGCATTTCTAAAAGCAAAGTGTATAATTGTTAAATGGAAAATGTAATTGCAGGAACATTAATTTCCCAAACTCAGTTTAGGAAGTGCACTGAGCTATAATATAGTATAAAGGTGATTACAGAAACAAGGAGAAAATATATCTTAGAGAGACCTACAAAAAATTCTCCCAAAGGGAAATGCTTTAGCTGTACTCCAGATCATTTCTCTCCTATTTTACCCAGGAAAGAGGTGGGGGAAGAGAATAGTATTAAAAACACAGGTAGCTGATCATTGATTCTCTTTCCCCTCCTGCAGTCTCTCATGGTTCCAATTAGGAAGTGCCATAATGCCAAAGTCTCATCTAATTTTTCTGATCAACTCATGCTCTAATAATCAATGTGGAGGAAGAGGAAAGAAAAGAGGGAAAACAAATGTGAATCTAAGGTATATACATCTAAGGTCGTAAACAGCAGCCACTTCGTGGGAGTAGGAGGAACATAGCCCTCACCGAATTGGACAGATAATGTTTCCAAAGAGAAAAACGATGGGAGGAGAAAAAGGAGGGAAATATTCTTTATCTTCTACCAATCTTTGCAGGCAGGAAGATCTATAGCCAGGGCATAACTAAGCTAGGTGAGCAGGGGAGGAGTAAAAAAAGAATACTGAAAGTTAAGCAACTTCAGCCCTGACCCCTTCAGTAGAGTATACTGGAAATCTGGACTACTGGTATGGTATGGTATGCATGCCCCAGAAGCAACATAGGTGATAAACCCCTACAGATTGTGTTTATACTCCCTCTCTTGTTTCTGGGCAGTTTCTCAGCAATTATTTTAAAAATAAGAAACCAGATCTCCACTTCCTTCCAAATAATAAAGTAAGGAAGCCCCCAAAATGAAGTACCATTTGCAGGCAGAGGAGGAGTAAGGTAGTGGTGTGGAGGCGGGGGGTGTAGGTTAGGAAATATCTAGTTACTGGAGGAACAACTTGGTACCAAGTAGCCCCAGCTCAAGAGAAACCAAAGCCAAAGTCTTCATTTTCAGGTCCTGTTGGGTCCAAGAGAAAGCAGGAATGAGGGTGAGGGTGGGGCACACAGTCCTTATTCAAGCTCCCTGTTATTTTAAAAGAAGGAGACATGAACAATTAGTCAATCACTCTGTGCTATTGAAATGACTACACAGAGTTACTGGAGTGTAAGAGCTAACAAAGCTCCAAAGACAGCCTGCTCTTCTTGTAAAGTGGCGTGGAGATGTTTTAAAAGCAACTACATCCAAAAACTACAAGTAAGAAAAGGGATCTCTCAGCAAATAGGAATCCAGGTGTAGAATTTATACATATATATATATATATATATATATATATGTATGTATATATATATATGTATTTTAAAGTATAAAACTGAGAAAGTATGTACAGAAATCACACTAAGTCTTAGAAAGGACATATAAAAAACGGGCCTGGAGAGGATGGGGAGTATGTGGGT